CCCCCCCCTTCACTCTCGCCATGCAGAATGCAAAGCCAGCCTCCCGATCGGCCTATGCCCGTCCAGGGCAGCTCCTTCCGAGAGCTGCCTGGCCACACACACAGCCTTCATAGAAGCTTGCGAATGGCCGTCTGGCCGCATCCGTGGCACGTCGTGCCGTGACGCTACTGTAAGAGGACTAAATGAGAACCATCTTCGACGCAGCCGCTATTCCTTGATGCCCAAGGGCCGGTTCAGCTAGTCATTCGAAAGAGCACAGGCAAGCCATCTCTCTCACCATCATCGGCAGCGGCACCAAGAGCAGCGCACGCGAATCTGCAACGGCTTACAGTAAATGCACTACCCTATGCTATGAGAGCACCATGGTCTCTGAGCGGCCACCAGCTGCGTACAAACACCTCTCAAACAGCCCATCCCACGACCCAGTCAGCATGCCCAGCGCCGGCCCTTCCGACTACTCCGCCGCTCCTCGACGCCATGCCGCTGCTCCCGAAGCTCCATTAGGGCTGGCTGTTCCAGCCAACCCAGCTCCGAGGGACCACCCGCCAGATCTTGACCTCGCCGCTTCGCAGGTCGTCCAGCTTGAAGCTCTCGAGCTTCACCTTCTTGCTCTCTCGCCCTTGCTCCCATGCCCGTACCTTCTTCTTCGTCCCGTCCCATTCCGCCACTACACCCACGTGGTCGGGCTTGCCCACCTCGGCCGTGTACTTGGCGTGCATGGGCCCGTGCTTCCCCTGGAACTTTGCGTTGCGGATCGAGATGATGTCCCCTGGCCGAATCACGTCGTGCTGCTGCGTCGAGGCATTGCCCATGTTGGCATACACCAACGCGCCGTAAGACCGTGACCCAACGGGCCACAGCGCGTCCCGGAGGGGCCGGAGAAGCTCCAGCACGAGCCCCTGAGGAGTCCCGTCGGCAACGACCGTATCCTTCTTCGACGAGGCGGCGTCCGAAATTTGCCGCCCGAATCGCTCGTAAAACTCCTCCATCTGGTCTTGACGCAATGTTCGCGGCGGCGGCTCGTGCCGTTGCTCGAGCTCCACGTCAGACGGGTTTGATGGGTCATATCGTACCGTGATGATCGTCTGGGAGTAGTCTTGGTAGAGGACAAAGATCTCGCGCGTAGTCACAGTCTTGGACCCCTGGTTCGTCGTCGTCGACTCTTCGCTCTCAAAGTGAATGTCGCGACGTCCCTGTAGCACGGGCGGTACTTGGTTGGCCTGCTTCCACCACCCACTCTGTACAGCCAGGTCAATATCGTTGGCGATGAAGCCAGACTCCATAGACGGTCGATGAATGTCTACGGATCTCCGGCCCCCAGTGCTAGTCCGCTGCACGTCCAACGATTGCCTGGCCTGGCCGCGGCTGCCGGGAGCAGCAGGAGGCGCCCTCCGATCTGGGGCAGACACGCCAGGTGCGGGCCCAGGGAAGTAGGCGTCTTCCTCCTCGATCATGGGGGTCTTGTGGCTGTAGCTTGAGGCCGGAGCAGCGTAGTTGTAAGGGTCATAATCGTCGCTCTGGGCAGGTGGAGCTTCCTTCGGGGGAGGTGGCGGTGGAGGAGCTGCCCGTGGCATATCTACAGATCGTCGCTTGCCGCTGTCGGGTGCCGGATGAGAAGGCAGGGGCGGAGGCACGGCCCTCGGAGCCGCGGCCGTCGGGATCGGAGGTGGCAGGACCGGCGGCACATCTGCGATGGGGGACTGCAGCGTGTTGTCCTCGCTAGAGTCACGCGCATGAGCCTTCAGAGCGTCCTTATGAGGAACGGAGGAGGCAATGTCGGTATCGTAGTCGCCCTCATACTCGGTATTCTCCTCGTCCTCTTCTTCGCCGGCTTGAGGAGGACGTGAGGGGATAGGCGGCGGAGCATGAACGTCGGCAGTTGACTGTCGGCTTAGAACCCCAGGCGGGGGCGGTGGAGGAGGACGGCTTTGCGACGGTGGAGGCACCGGGGCGGTCCCGGGGATCGGAGGCGGCGGCCTGCTATTGCGCTTGTTTGCGGAAGGCGGCGATGTTGGCGAGAACTCCTCATGACGAGGAGATAGTGGTGGCGACTGCACTCGCTGAGGCGGTAACGGCGGCGATCGCGTAGAGCTCAGGGGTGTCTCCCTCTCGCGATTAGCGCCAGATAGTTCATCGTCGGATTCAGACCCTTCCGTTGGCGGCGCATCGGCCGGCGGTGGTGGCGGCGGTGGTCGCGCTGTGAAGGCATGTTAGCACTCTGGTTTGGAGCTGAGGGCGAGCAACGCAGGTCAACATACCCTCCATCGGCACCGGGGGCGGTGCAGGGCGACCGCCAGGGACCGGTGGAGGCCCGCTCGCGTCTCTTCGAGGAGCTATTCATCGTTAGCGAGATATTTGCCTTGCAGCAAGGGTCTACTCACGTTTCGGCTCAGGGACAGGGGCTGGTGTAGTTGCCTCTTCCTCTTCCTCTTCAGAGTCAGCTTCGTCCGCGGCACGCGGCGGAACTGGCGGCGGCACGGCACGGGCGGGAGGTGCAGGCTCGTCCTCATCAACGTGGCGCTTGTGCTCCCCAGAGGCTCGAGGCGCACCCATGCCAGGAAGTGCCATTGCCATGGGTGTGGGAATCGGGGGAGCAGCGCGAGAAATATGGCTCGTCTCCTCACTCCCTTCGGCTTCAGGCCCTGCTTCAGCCTTGGGCGCCTTCTTCTTTGGTGGAGCCATGCCCGGCATGGGCGCTCCAAACATGCCGTGGAAGCCCATTCCACCACTCATCTTGGCCATTCGAGCGCGCAACTCCTCCTTGCGCCGGACCTCAGGGTCGACATCTTCTTCCTCTTCCTCCTCTTCCTCTCCCTCTTCTGCCTCAGCCGTCTCCCCTTCTTCCGCAGCGGCGGTCGTTGCAGCCGTAGCGGTCGGAACACGGGACATGCGTCTTTGCACGCCATCGCTATCGTCGCGCTCAGTCGTGTCATCCTGGCTTTCGGTGGTGTCACCCGCACCAGACATGTCGGCCTCGTTGCCGTCGTGCACAGACTCAACCGCAGGGCCCTTGGACGACTTGCGTCGTGGAGGGGCGACACGCGGAGACTGGGGATCGTCCGTGGACGTTCTCGCCGCAGACTCCAGGGTCTCCGTGCGCTCCAGAGTGGGTGAAGCGAGAGTCTCTGCGGTATCCGCTGGTACTTCTGTGTGTACGGCGGGCTCGGTGCGCTTCTTCGGGGGCGGCTTCTTGGGCTTCTCTTTCTTGGCGGCAGCGTCGGCATGTCGCTGGGCCTGCTCCATCTGCTGCTTCTGCAAAAGGGCGATGCGCTCCTTCAGGCTCGTAGGCTTCGGCTGGTCCTCTTCCTCGACAGCCTCGTGCTGTTCGGATGGGACAAGGCCTGCCTTTTCCGCCTGCTCCATAGTCTCCGCCTCTCTTTCCTTGATCTCAGGATCTTCTTCTCGCCTGTATTGAGTTGTCGCGGGGGGTTCCCTCGGCGGCGGGACGTAGGCATTTCGGCTAGGGGGAGGGGCAACGAAGGGCTTCTTGATGAAGCCTCCGCCTCCGCTCAGAGACCCGGGCTTGAACGGGGCTACGGGCGGAGCGGCGGGCTTGTTGAATGCCGCAATGCGATCCTTGAACGAGTTGCTCGCGGGCTTCTCCGTGACAGGCGGCGGGGCGGAAGCCTTCGCCTTCGGCGCAGATGTCGAAGCGGCGGCGGCGGCGGGTGCAGGATGCTCCGTAGTCTTGCTGGCGGAGGGAGGGGACGCGGGAGTCGGAGCCGGCTCGGGGGCCTTGACCGGAGCTGCCGCGGGCGCGGCCGTTGCACGCTCGGCGGGGGCGGCCCTGTGAACGGGCTCGTCGGCTTCTTCAATCTCCGGCTCCTCGTGCTTGGGAAGAGCCGGTTCCTCATGTGCCGGCGCCGCGGCTACCTCTTCAGCAGCCGGAGGGTGAGCGATCTCGGCGTCCTTCTTGGTGCGCGTGCGGGCGGGCCGGGGCGGAGCGGTGGGCTCAAACTTCTCGACAAAGTTGCGAGGGAAGATGCCCTCCTTCTTGACGCCATGGTCGTCGACGTACTCGCCGGCGTACCAGTCGTCATCCTCCTCCTCGGTCACGGTGATGACCTGGCCGAGGGGGAAGTTGAGGTCGTCCTCGTGCGGCGACGAGTACTCGTAGACGGCCTTGACCCGGAAGGGCACGGCCATGGCGGGCGGCGGCGTTGTTTCGCGGTGTTGGGATGCTGCGACACGGCCAGACGGACAGCCCTGTGACACGTCTGTCGCGGCGAGATGCGTGAGACGTTTTCGCTCCCGTCCGTCGCAGAGGGGGAAGGCGGAAGAGCAGGTCGGTCGGTATTACGCGGGTGGGTCGACGTGCAGAAGCGAGGAGGCGGAGGGGCAGACCTGCTTTGCTGGAAGGCTGGCTGGCTGGCTACCCAGGGGGAAAGGGCCTCTGGAGCTCTGGAAGAGGAGGGCTTCGTCAGCCTGGGGGAAGCGGGGACGGGGGGGTGTTTGGGCGCGGGACTCATGCAGGCCAGCGGTCCCGAGCTACTTTCGTACGAAGGGGATAGGATAGCTTGTACCTTGGCACGCGCGGAGCAAGAGGTTGGAGGTTGGAGCCCGGAGGAGGTGACGATGGGACTCGACACACGTACGAGGACAGAGCAGGCGCGTATAGGTAGTCGGTCTGGCGAGCGGTCCCGCGGTGGGTGGTGGGATGCAAGAGGAGCAGACGCGGCGCAGGAGCGGGCTGTGAGGCGTAGCGTCGTGGCATCGACGGACGGAGCTTGGAGAGGTCGAGGAGGCGTCGTGGTGGGTTCCAGGCCGGCGGGGGGGTCCACGGGTGTTGGGTAGCTGGAGGTTGGCAGCACCCGCCAGCCAGCGAGCAGCGCTGTGGAGATAGGCGGACGGTTGGTCGCCCGGGGGGGAGGCGAACGACGTCAGCGGGCGCGGATGGAGGGACAATGACGAGGACACCTCGACTGCGAGAGCGGGACGAGCCTCCGGGCAGATTTACAGTGCAGTTGCCGCCCCGAGGGTTCCTTCTGCTGTCGGCAACGGGACGGACGAGACGGATTCGAGGCCAACGGACGCAACGCTCAACTGCTTGGACGCCGCTCGACAAAGATGACCTCGCAATTAAATATGCCCGTGTCGAGACAATGGCCGCATCTCTCCGCATTTACGCATTCGTAGATGCACACAATTCTGAGACGTGGTGAGACGGCTTGTCGACTCCAACTTGCGCCGCCACTAGGTCTCCATTGCAACAACCGCCCCCAACGCCCACACCAGCAGCCAGCACCAGCACCAGCACCCACAACGGGGCGACCGACCGCAGCGGCTCGTGCTGGCAGCCTGAGGCGGCAGCACCCAGCCATCCCATGAAAGTGGTCGGAGCCGTCGGGACGCCAGGTCAGTGGCTTAGGTTGGAGCTCTTTCCGACGTCGCCGCCCGCCAATGGCGAACAACTGGAGTGTCCCGTCGGCCAGAACGCCGCCGCCGCCCACCGCCGATGAGGTGTGAAGCAGGCAGCCCCCTCCTCCCCGCCCTACTGGAGGTGCAGTGGGTGCAACTGGACCCTGACGTGAGCTGCTGCACTGCGCTGGACTGGACCGGGAGGTGTGGTTCACCACCCACTGGAGCAGCTCGAAAGCCACAGCTTCGATTTTTAGTGGGGGGCGGCTGGTCGCCTTCCCATCCCAAGCCGTTTGGTAACAGTCTCTGCCAAAGCTCTCCAACGGCGCGACTTCCTTCGAACGTTTACACCTCATGGCACAAACGCCTTCACCGCTGGAGACTCTCATGCCTTGCGTCTGAACTCGCGACTCGCTCAGCGCCAAACCACACCCCGTCACAGATGCAAATCTAGAGGCAAAGCGCATCCCCGGAGCCATAGAGCTAGCTCTTTCTTCGCCACCATGGATTTCGCAGATATCGACGACAACATCGAAAAGACCATCAAGGGCACCGTCGAGAAGCGGAACGCAGCGCCACTACCTACGCCCGAGGAGGCCCGCAAGATAGCCATCCATCATGCGACGCTCCTCCAGCACAGGAAGGACCTAGAGGCTCGGATCCTCGACAGCGTCATCGAGCTCTCCGAGTACCCCCGCGACCGGTCGCCACAGTTCTCGGCCGCCAACCCCGCGCCCTCAGACGCCGAGGAGTTCAAGCAGCAAGTCCGCCTCTTCCAGCCGTCAGATCACAAGGACCTCGTCGAGGAGCGCAACGTGAACGGGCTCTGCGGCTACACGCTGTGTCCCAAGCCGCACCGCGACACCGGCCCGGGGGGGAAGTGGACGATCCGCAGCGGCGCGATCCTCGAGCGCAGAAACATCGAGATGTGGTGCTCCGAGCAGTGCGCCAAACGCGCCATGTACGTCCAGGTGCAACTTAGCGAGACTGCAGCCTGGGAGAGAGTTGGCAACGACAAGATCCGGATCGACTTGCTGGACGAGCCCAAGGCAGCCGACGGAAAGCAGGAGCGCGATGCGCAGGACCAAGTTAAGCTACCGTCCAAAGACCCGGTGGATGCGGTTCGCGAAGCCGCGGTATTGGCCCTGGAGCGTGGTGAACAGCTGCCATTGTCCGCCACCGACAAGGTCAAGGTCGATATCCAGGAGAAGGAGACCAAGGCCCCGACGAATACCATCATTACCGGCGACAAAGATAGCCACCTCAGCGTGGAGGGGTATGTCAGCCGGCTACCATATCGGCCCAAGCCACAGACTTGAACGTCTGCTGCTACAATACTTGTCTACGGACTACGGTGCATAGGAATCGGCGTTTGGGTGGAGACCGCATTATCTGGAGTTTGGCTTTCAAAAATGGCATGTCGTGGGTATGAGACAGGCTGCATATACCCTCATCGAGTAAATGAAATAGCCGGCGCGGCCAGGATTGGCGCAAGACTGCCATCCGAAAAGAATCCGTAGTCCGGTCAAGCGTGACATTCGCATTGGCATTCACTTGAGCGGCTGGGCTCGAGTATCTTGGCGATCAAGCGTCATCTCCAGAGACATCTGGAGAATCGGCGACACCTTGTGGGGAAGGAAGATCTTTCTTTGAGATCTAAGCACTCACTACCGTCCAGAGACGCCAAGTCGCAAAAACCCTGTAAAATGCTAACCCAACAGCCCACAATAAGAATTCGCTTTTTAGTCGCGGGGACGACGGTCGCCGAACCGGCGGGGACCGCGCTCGACAACCTGAGTCTGGGTGACGGCAACGACGTTGACGGGGATGGAGTCGAACTAGAGGCGTGAGCGTTAGCAGGACTGCCCTCGATCGAGCTGTTGCGACAATGCAGGGGTTGACATACGCCGAGGTGCTTGAGCAGGTCCTTGGTCTCGCCGTCGACGTCCAGCTGGCCGTTCTCCGAGTTCTGGGTGAAGTCAAGGGCGGAGACCTCGGGGACGTACTGGTCCTTGCGCTCACGCTCCTCCTCCTGAAGCTTGAAGGAGATGCCACGGACGGGGCCACGCTGAATACGCTTCATCAGGTGGGTGGTGTAGCCAGCAATCTGCGCAAAAAAAAATCCCAGTCAGCAATTCCGTCGTATAATTCTCTCGCCCGTCGCTTCTCGTCGAAGCCCGGGCTCGAAAGACTCTGCGCGTCGCGTGCTAACCTTGTTGCGGAGGCGCTTGGAGGCAATGATGGCAATCTCATCGCAGATGCGCTTGTTGGTCTCGAAGTCGAGGGTCAGGCGGGGGTAGTACCGCTCGATGATGACCTTGGCGGACTTCTTGACGGTCTTGGTACGAACGCGACCCATTTTGGCGGTATTGGACTGGTGGTTGTCGGTGGGCGATGGGTTGTTGAAGAGTCGCTCGTGAGATCCAGCAGGCCAGGAAAATTGGTGGTTTGCACAGTAGTGGGGAATTGACGATTAGGGCTTGCAAAAAAAGTTGCTCACGGGACTGGTCACATGACGCGTAGAGGCGGACCGGCGATCTTGATCAGTGGATCTTCCGCTTACCTAATACATTCGGACAGAATGCTCCGGAGCATCAGTTTAAGTCACCAGGGACTTTCGCGATTGACATGATTTGGTTGATTCTACTTTACAGAGATATTTTGGTACACGACGCGGCTGACACGCCGTCGATATACAACGCTTCGCAGGTCTTCAGTTATCCGAGGGCATCATCCTACTGCTCCGCCGGCTTCGAGCCTTCCAAGATCTCATCCGCCACTCGTTCCATTCGCTTCTCGCCAGCCTTGTTGCCGGGTCTTTGCGCTTGTTGTCTGGGAACGACTCGCTTCGTGGAGCTGTCGTGGTAGATGCTGGACACGCCCTTGTTCTCCTTGGCAATGACTTGCGCCTCGGGATGGGTCTCGCGGAGCTGCAGCACAACCTTTCCGCTCGGGTCAACGCTGGCAGTCTGCGGCTCAACATATGCCTTGGCGCCGCCGAACGTCGTAGTATCGAGGTGCATGATGCCATTGAGCATCGTCTTGTTGGCCGCGGTGCGTCCTCTGCCGTGTCGGATGTTGAACTCGTTGTCGCCAGGCGGCGCATCGGCGACGAAACCGCCAACACCGAGCTTGGCCGGGGCCGGGCCAACTCTGGGGTACACCACACGAGCCAGCGCCGGCGTGCGCTTGGCCTGCGGGCCGTAGACGGGGTGGTTCTCCATGAAGGAATTTGTCCGCAAGTAGCTGATACCTGCCGAGGGGTGGCTTGGTGGCGGGCCCGACTTGCCATAGGGGCTCTCGGGGGCGGCGTTGTCCTGCTTGGACCAGAAGGACTGGATGAAGCCCACGGGTTGTCCCAGTGGTGCCAGGTCCAGGAACTTGGAAACGAGCGCGTACAATGTGACGCGGTCGTTGCGCAGCGTCCGCAGGTAGTCTGTGAACTGCTCTTCTGTGATGTCCTTGGCTTCCACCTTGGTCGGCGCGGCCTTTCCTTGCTCCAGCGCCAGGTTGTTCTGTCGCGTCGTGATGTCCTCTGCCAGCTTGTCCTTGAGCAGCGACCGGAACTGGGCGCGCTTCGGTCGGACCTTCTTGTCCAGGTACTCGATGAAGTCGCCTTCCGTCATGCGGGCCAGCCAGGGGCCCTGAAACTTCCATCTCCGGTCGTCCGCCCGGCTTCGCTGGAAATCGGTAAAGTCCATGTCCTCCTCAAACACCGACTTGAACCACAGATCGGATCGTGATGAGCTTTTCCGATCGCTACTCTTGGGGACGGAGAGCGCGACGCGGAGCTCTTGGAACTTCTCGAGGGACAGGGAATGGTCGGCGGCGGAGGCAAAGTCGGTCACGTTTTCGACCGAGTCGACCTGCTTGATGCGGATCAGGGGCGTCGAAGTGGCCATTGTCGACTTGAGGGGGAACGGTCGCTTGTAACCCCAATCGCCCTTTTCGCGCGACGACAGCGGCGACGTGATTGACTGGTGCTGCGGGTACTGTCTCGTCATCGTGGACGACTTGTGATCGCCAATGTGCAGGTTCGTCGACGGCGGCTCGGGAAGCGGTTTCGGTACTGAGAACAGACGGGACGTCCTCAGCAGAGCCCCTCCGGGCGAAACAGCACGGCCCCCCATTGTGACAGTCGGCGTTGATGGGGAGGCTCAATGCCTTGGTGTTTGGTTGGCAGCGAGGACGATCGTGCTGGTCGTCTGCGACGCGGCGAGGAAATTTCGGGGAGGTCGACGGAGCTGGCAATTGGTGAGCTCGGAATGGCAGGTCGGCCAGCCGGGGATGAGCCGGCGCGCTGGCAACGCCAGCACAACAGGGGTCCACTGAATTTGCCCAGGCACACGACCTACCCTGAAGCATCAGCCTTCTGAGCCAGAACTGAAAGGAAGACTTCAGTGGCGAGCTGTTCGCCGTGAGGGTTTCGCATCGGGGCATTGGAGTCGGCAGAGAATGTTTGGAATCAAAAAGATGGCCTCCAATATTTCTTCGTCTCCAGCCCTCACCTTTGAGCTCATCGCTCGTTGCTCAGTGAGTACTCACTTGAGTGCCCCAGCTATGGCAAACGATTCTGACACCTGGGCCAGACAACAAGAGCCCGAGCATCCACAGTCACGCTCCCCCATGGCCCGGTGCAACTGCCCATGTTCATGCCTGTTGCGACTCAGGCGTCGCTAAAAGGCATCACACCTCAGCAGCTCGAAGAGACGGGCTGTCGACTATGCCTGAACAACACATACCACTTGGGCCTCAAGCCCGGCCAGGAGGTCTTGGACGCGGTTGGGGGAGCGCACAAGCTTCAAGGCTGGAAGTACAATATACTCACAGACAGTGGAGGGCAAGTGACACTGTGACTATGAATGGTACATCGACTGACAACGGCGTGCAGTTTCCAGATGGTCAGCCTGCTCAAGCTGGCCAAGATCACAGAAGAGGGCGTGCGGTTTCTGAGTCCACACGATGGCTCGCCGATGCTGCTGACCCCCGAGCACTCCATCTCTCTACAAAACACAATCGGCAGCGACATCATTATGCAGCTCGACGATGTGTTGGTTACGACGTCTCCCGATGCGGCACGAATGCGTGAGGCCATGGAGCGCAGTGTGCGATGGCTGGACCGGTGTATCGCGGCGCACAAGAACCCCGATCGCCAGAACCTATTCTGCATCATTCAAGGCGGACTTGACCTCGAGATGCGGCGGGAATGCACCCGAGAGATGCTGGCGCGAGACACGCCCGGCATCGCCATCGGCGGACTCAGCGGAGGCGAGGCCAAGGCGGACTACTGTCGTGTTGTCGCGACGTGTACGGCCCTGCTCCCAGACCTCAAGCCGCGATACGTCATGGGCATTGGCTATCCCGAGGACCTGGTGGTGAGCGTCGCCCTGGGAGCGGACATGTTCGACTGCGTGTGGCCCACGCGGACGGCGCGGTTCGGCAACGCCGTTACCAAGATGGGCGTGCTCAACATCCGCAACTCGAAGTACGCAAACGACTTTGGCCCGATCGAGCCGGGCTGCGGGTGCATGTGCTGCCGGACGGGAGATGGTGGCATGGGCATCACACGGGCTTATGTGCACCACAACGCGTCCAAGGAGACGGTTGCGGCGCACCTGCTGACGATACACAACGTGTGGTACCAGCTCAACCTCATGAGGGAGGTGCGGCAGTCCATCATCGAGGACAGGTTCCCGGCGTACATACGCGACTTCTTTGCGGGGCTGTACGAGAGCAAGACGGAATACCCTGCATGGGCGGTCGAGGCATTGCAAGGCGTTGGCGTGGACTTGACGGTAGACGCATAGACATGGAACAAGCGTACTAAATTCATGGGTATTTAAGAAGGAGTATATCCATGCTATGTGCTCACTGGGCTATATGCGCTCGCTAGTGTCCGTGGAATCATGGTTCAAGAAGAGTCGAGTATGACAACGAAGTCTAAACTCAACCTCGTTGGTCTTATAAGGCAACCGCGACGAGGGCGGCGACAACCAGGCCGGCAGCCGAGCCGACCCGCAGGCCTGCCGCAGCACCGGTCGTCGTCGTCGGGGCCGCAGTGGTAGTCGTCGGGGTGGTCTGGGGGTTGCTCGTGGCAGGAGCATCTGTACTGGTCGTCTGCGCGTCAGTAGCGGTTGTGGTGGCCTCGTTGGTTGCGAGTGTCGAGGTAGAGAAGCAGGCATTGCTGAAGTTCTGGCAAAAGCCGGCAAACGTTTTGGCAACTGCGTCGGGTCAGAACACTCAATCTAGGCTGATAGAACAGTGTCAGTGTCCGAAGAGGTTCGTACCAGTGTAGATGCTGTTGGGGCCGCTGGCCTTGGCCCAGTCGCGGCAGGTCTGGGCGTACTTGTCGAGCTGGTCGGTCCACGTCGCCTCGCCGCGGAGAGTGACACAGCTACACATGGTCAGTCAATATGGCGCATAATAACGCGGCGATATTGGGTCAGGGGGGCCATAGACGCACCAGTAGCAAGGTGCTTGTTCGCCATAGGGCGCGTTTGCGAAACCGGGAACGTTCTTCGAGCAAGACTCGTAGAGCCCGAACATGGAGCTGCATGCTGGGGCAACATTTCCGAGGCCGCCAGAGCTCGTGACGAGAACGGTGCCGGTTGCCCCGGACGAGACAGAGGTCGGGATATCGGTGACGGAGGCCACCGTTGCTGCGCCGGAGGTGCCACCGCAGTTGTTGCCAACGCGGCAGAGGGAAGCGAGGTTCGCATATGCTGGAACCATATCAGTTTCTGCGCTCGTTGACTTGTCTAAGACGGATACCGACCAGAGTACTGGCTAGTTTGGTCCGGGATTTCGGAGGACAGGTAGGCGGCGCAAGACGAGTACGCCCCGGCGACTGGGTTCCCAGAGTCGCAGCAGGCGCACCTTGCGAGGGCGAGGGGCTCGGCTGTCTTGACGCCCGTGAGACCACCGGCTGAGCTCACGCATATGTCGAGCTTGGCGCTGGCCAGACGACAGGCCGAATAGCCCGCGTCGGTAGGGTTGAGGGCATTAACGGCGTTGTCGAGCACGGGCAGAGTGATGTGCTCGATGGCGGCGGCAGCGCCAACGAGGGCGGCTCCGGGGAGCAGCAGAAGTTGCTTCATTGCGAGTCGTGTAAGCGAAAGACTAGTCGCTCGCGATGACAATCGGTGCTTCTGGCGGATGAAGCTGTCTCACGACTCCTTCACGTCACACGGACACACACACGGCAAGAAGAGCAAGAGAGGCATCGCGGGTCGCGAGCGGGAATTTCGGGGGCCAGACAGGCAATTTATCGATCCCGCGGTGTGCCTATTCCCGCTGGGCGGTCGAGGCTTGGCCTGGCCGCCGGCCGACGGGCCCATGACAGCACTCATTATTAGCCTGCTGGCTGGACGAGGGTGAGATTTCCGTTCGAGGCAGGACAAGGGTCTCGGTGGCGCTTGGGGAAGCAGCCTATGCTCTGACATTATAGGTGGGCGGCCCAACGGGCAGAGCCGTCCATGCTGGCGGACGTGGCGCCATGCCCGGAGCGCTGTAGCGCGTGCGGCTGAGCGGGGGGCAGCTACATCTGCAGGCTTCGAGGCTGCGATAGCTGCTGCGCGGTGGGCGGCTTGGGCTGCTGGGGCAATCATCATCAGGCGTGCACGCGCGTGCGGGTTGCAATGGGGTGGCGGAGGAGGCTGGCGGGAACGAGGCGGCTCGGCGCGGATTGTGTTGCTGCAATAGAAGTCCATGTAGGTGGTGGTGTTGAGAACTTGAGAGACGTGGCACAGAGACAAGTTACAACCCCAGGTTAAATTGCACTCAACTGGGCCCGGGGCAGCCTGCAGGGCTCATGGCCACAAGCGCTGCAACTGGTCCGCGTGTCTTATTGCGCAGTTTCGCGACGTTACTTTTGGTCCCTTCAGGTCGTGAAGAACGGGACGCTTCAGCTTCTTGCCGACAGACCGACGTCTGTTCCACAACCAAGCGCCGACAGGAGGAGGGGTCGCCCAATATTGATTTTCCTGCAGAGCTGAGCCACTGGGGCAGCCTGCTGGTCGGGGCTCTGGGGAGCCTTGGGAGCCCAGCGCGCCCGAGATGTGGAGCCTGCTCGGAGCCCCGGCGTGGATTCTGCTGGTGTCACTGACATGCCAACGGGAACCTGGAATGGAGAGAGCAGCAGCAGACCGCCTGCAGATGGGACGGACCCCTCCTGCCCACCCGCAGTGGACAGCCGGCCGTGCGGCAGCCTACCTACAGGTGGGGGCGCGGACATGCCAACCCGATGACCGCAACAGAGCCTCATGCGTCATCGTGCAACGGTGCCGAAGAGGGGACATTCCGCGTTTACGTAGGACATGTGTACCTCGCAGTATGCATCGCCTGACAGAGTCAACATCATGTTGACGTGTACAACCAATTTCCAAGTGACTTGTGCACCTCTTGAGTATCCCGGATTAGCAGCTACCGTACCTACGAGCTTAGACGCCGCCGTTGAGCCGCCGCCGCCGACTCCAGGTCTCAGGCGCTGTTATTCAGTGGAGCGCCAGCGCCGACCCACGCTGAGGCTTCGGTCCAGGAACAATGGAACCTGGAACAGATCCGTGAGACGAGTATCATCACGCTGGAAGAAACTCACCAGCTCATGCAAAGCAAAACGTTCGAAACGCACCAGTTAGTCTGATCGGGCATGCATGGCACACCACCAACAAAGTCCTTGTTGACACCCCAGAACAACAGTTCCATCACGTGATGACGCACCGGGCCACGCGCCCGCACGCCCCTCCAAGACCCAAGACGCGCTCTGGCGGCCCCAGGGCCCTGCGCGGCACCCAGCCAGGGTACTTTAATCAAAATACCCAAGGCACGGAGCAGCTCCGTCATAACAAACACACCACATCCCAGCTCCTTTTCCCGCGACCTTTCCCGTGACGCCGCCCGCACGTCCAAGTCCAAGCCCGTTGCTCCCCGAGTCCGATTGCAGACCGGTTTCCCTTGCCAGCAAGTCCTCATCTCATGACTCGGGCATCCCCATGTCGCAACCGAAACAATCGGCGCCGCCGCCGCGACAATCGACCGGCTCCGCGTCCGTGGCCGGCATGACTGCCAACGGCGACGATGACACCGGCCTCACGCAGTCGCTGAGCCAGCTCTCTCTGGCTGGTCAGCCGCCGCCCGCCAAGTCTCCCCAGATCAAGACGACGCCTGCGGCCCTCAAACCGCCGTCGCGACGTTCGTCCAGCACCGCGACCTCTCCTCGACCCCGACTTCCGTCCCGCAGCCCCTCGAATGGACGCGAGTCCCGAGCCTCACGCGCAGGCACGCCGCCTCTCCTCAGGAAGGCGTCGCTGAATTCGCTTCATTCCCTCAACGGCTCCAGCACCGCACGACCTGCGTCACGCCGGTCCAGCTCCTCGCACTTCACCCCTGGGCTGAATAAGACGGGGCACATAGGCGCAAACGTGCCGGAAGAAGAGGAGAGGGAGCCCGTAACGGCAAATTCGGTCGCCAGAGACTACTTCAAGGCTGAGCTCGCTGCTCATCACGGCGAAGCGCGAACGCGACAGACCGAGACCATTGTCATTCTCAACGACGCCGTGTATGGCCACAGATTCTCGCGACCCCGAACCTCTCGCAGCGCCCTGAGCACCATTGTCGAGCGACCCGAGAGAATCAAGGCTGGAGTGTTGGGTATCTCGACAGCCTACGTGCACCTGGGTGGACGACATAGCGAGGGAACACTCCCCATTGACCCTAAGAGAGACGTGCATGGTGTACCTGGCATCCCCTTTCGCATCCGAAAGACTACAAGGCGCTTACCGCTGGCGTCGCCGGCAGTCACTAATGTCCATGGAACCAAGTGGATGGACGAGCTCAAGCTCATGTGCGACTCGGCCGAGGCCAAGTTGGCCATGGGTGGAAGGGAGCTGCAGCGACCTGTCATGCCGCGGGGCCCAGACGAGGGCCCGCCCCAAAAGCTTCACGAAGGCGACCTCTATTTATGCTCCGAGTCCCTGACTGCTATCGAAGGAGCGTTGGGGGCGGTCTGTGAGGCTGTCGATACGGTCTTCACGACGGACTACCGGAGGGCCTTTGTGGGCGTGAGGCCGCCGGGACACCACTGCTCCGCGTCGCACCCCTCGGGATTCTGCTGGGTCAACAATGTACACGTTGGAATTATGCACGGAGTGCTCACGCAAGGCATGACGCACGCAGCTATCATCGACTTTGACCTACACCACGGCGACGGCTCCCAGTCCATCACTTGGCAGCACAACACGCGTGCGGTATCGGCGACCAAGAATGCGTCTCCGTGGAAAAAGACCTCGATAGGCTACTTTAGCCTCCACGACATCAACTCGTATCCTTGCGAGATGGGTGACGAGGAAAAGGTCAAAAACGCCAGTCTTTGCATCGACAATGCACACGGCCAGACAATCTGGAACGTCCACCTGCAGTCATGGAAGACGGAGCAGGATTTCTGGGCATTGTACGAGTCTAAATACATGGTGTTGCTGGACAAGACGCGCAACTATCTCAAGAACCAAGCCGAGCGACTCACTGCGCTGGGACAGACCCCGAAGGCGGCCATTTTCTTCTCCGCCGGCTTTGATGCCAGCGAGTGGGAAAGCGCCGGCATGCAGCGCCATCAGGTCAACGTGCCAACTGAGTTCTATGCCAGGTTATCGCAGGACGTGGTCAGGCTGGCAGCCGAGGAAGGCTTACACGTGGATGGCAGAGTCATCAGCGTGCTCGAGGGCGGCTACAGCGACAGAGCAATTTCATCTGGCGTCCTCAGCCATTTGAGCGGACTCGTAGGCGACCAAGCGCCCGGGAAGCACTTCCAAGACTCGCCCGGACTCGGCAGCGAGATGGGTCTGCGAATTGGCGTCATCGAAGATGGACCGCAAGTCGCGACGACCCGACCTCTCGCGTCGACACACTTGTACGATCCGCTCTGGTGGGCCAGCGGCGAGCTGGACAAGTTGGAGCGTCTCACCGAACCCCCCTCGCCTCCTCGCAAGCCACGCAACACAGCGCAACCGACGTACTCGTCGCCCACCCAGGCGTCGACAGCCAGAGTTGTCGACCCAGTTCGGATGCGGCGCAGTCTATCCGGGGTTTCCACGAGGGTCATCGAGCGCCCACCGTCGCCCCCGCCCCCAGAAGTCCCCTGGGTTATTGCAGCTCAGGAGCTCTGCAAGTTGCTCATACCTTCAGAGCGTCAGACGGATAGCTGCAAGCCGGAGGACTTGAATGCGGAGGCGACAAAGGCTCGGCGGGACCGCGCGTCGAATCTGATGGGCCTACCGCCGCCTCCTGACCCCCCGAGCCGGCCTGGATCGCGAATGGCTCTGCGTGAGCGAAAGGCCAGGGCCATCGGCCCAATCGACGAAGAAACAAACGAGCAACTTCCCAAGACTCGTCGCAGAAATGGTGCAACACCGGTAGCATCACCAGAAAAAGTATACCACCCTCCCGGTGGACAGGCAATGCCAAGTGCTAACCAAAGACACTCAAAGCCTTCCACTCGCAGTACACCATCACGTCAGAATGGCGGCCAAACAGCCAGGAGGGCCAGCCGGCGCCTTAGTGGAGCGTCGTCCGTGGTCAGTCCGGCGTATGAGGAACCACCGCCACTGCCTGGCAGCGACGGCAGTGCAAGTCGACCTCCGTCTGCTGTGAGCTCTCGAACCGAGAGCAGTGGAAAGCTTGCCGTGAAGAAGACCCGGCCGGCAGCTCCGCGAAAAGAAGCGGCACCTAGGGCTCGGAGCCCAAGGAAGGCTTCGACGCCGGCTCGCAAGAAAGCACCAGCCTCTGCGACTCAGACGCCTCAGCGACCGTCGACCGCACCTGGTCCGGTCTCCAGCGACGGGTCGGGGATGGACAACATCACGACGGGCATGAAAAAGATCAAGATCAACTTGATCACTCAAGCGCAAAAGGAGGCCAGAGAGCGCGCTCGAATCGACACAGAGAAAGCCTCGAAGGCTGCTGGGGCACCGGAAACACCTGTCGCAAAGGTAGAAGAACCATCGACAACTCCCAGCGTTGAGACCTTGCCTCAGTTGCCGGCCTTGACGCAGGCTGGTGACTCCCCCACGAAGCCCGCGGCTCTTGGGTCGTCACTGGCACCAGAGCCACCGTCCTCCTCAACCGGACCGCAAACTCCAATCGACGAGCCTTACACATCCGTTCTGGCGACGCCAGAGCCGCGTCAAGTGCCACTTCCAGCTAGCAGCCCGGCCTTGAACGACTCCACGTCGCAGCCGGCAACGGACACCAGCGACTTTTTCATCTCGTACCAGCCCGAGGGGCCGGCTCCCGTCGCCGTCTCGCAGCAAGAGCCCCTGACATGGCTGCCACCGACGTTGGGCACGCCCGCGGCCGGCACACCCGCGGCGACGCCGAGTCCGCAGAAAAAGCAAAACGGCCTGTTCCATTACAAGTCTGGTATCCCTTTTGCGCCGCGGCCAGCGACAGGCACGCCGAAGCCCGAGGTGGGCACGTACAGCGGCAAGAGCGAAGCCTCCAAGCATTCGTCGGTGTGGGACTATCCAGAGACGCCCAAGAAATAGAAGAGGCATGTCGCATGTTATGTGAGCAGGCCTCGTGAGTTTGGTTGGCGTTTTGGGGACATGGAAATATGTTTGCGGACGTCCTTGGTGCCTCGGCGTAGGCTGGACGTCTTGCCATCTATTTGCGCGCCGCTTTGGCTGTATGATACCCTTGTAATTGACCCCCTGTGTATAATGTCTATCCAGATGGAGAAAACCGTCCCCTGTCGGGCGCCCCGCCTCCCCTCGTCTCGTCTAATCGCAGTAGTCCCGTCTGCGCATGCAAGTGAGGGCAAAATTAGGTGTGGTGAGTGAGTGAGTGAGTGAGTGAGTGACCTGAGTAGATCGTGATGAGAATCGTTCAAGTCGCCCCGGTTCGTCGACTACTTGAAGAGCTGCGTAAACTCGCGCAGCGGCACGGCCGTCTCGTCGAGCGTGTGGGTTCCTGTGCCCTTACCACCGGCGTCGCCGCCGAGGGCCGGTTGCGGCCGCCGGCGAAAGGTCCAGACGTGCTCGACGCCGAGGCTCTCGAGGTAGGCCGCGCCGCGGGCGTAGTTTGTGGCGACGTGGGCAATGCCGTGGCTGTCATCGGACATGGTGAACTTGCCGCCCATCTTGAGCCATTCCTCGGCAATGGCGCGGCAAGGATACGGCTCGGCAAGCCCCTTGCGCAGAGCCGCCGTATTGCACTCCAGCCAGCCGCCCTGCTCCCTCACAATCTTCAGATTCCGCACCACGCGCTCCCACACGCCCTTCCAAGCACGCACATCGCGCGCCGGATCCTCAGCGAGCAGCCGCACGAGGTCAAAGTGGCCCACGACGCGCGGCCGCAGCGCGAGCAGCATGTCGCGCTGCTGGTCGTAGTAGTCCTCCCAGAGGCTCTCCTCGCCGCGGGCCGGGTCCGAGGAGGCGGCGCGCGCGGCGGCGTACGCGGCGGGGCCGTAGTCGATGGGGTGGCCGTGGACGTGGTGCAGCGAGCCGATGAAGTAGTCGACGCGCGGGTCGGTGGCGAGGCGGAGCACGGCGGGCGCGTACGAGGGCCGGATGAACTCGGCCTCGAAGCCGATGAGGACGGAGATCTGCGCCGCGTACTTGGCCTGCAGGCGCTGGGCCTCGACGAGGTATGCGTCGTGCCGCGGGGGGAGCACGGCGAGGCTGGCTTGCGGGTCGTCGAGCTGGGGTTGTGTGAGTCAGTGACATGAGTTTTGAGCGTTGAGGTTGAGCGAAGTGAGGAGAGTCTTGAGCATCTTTCGTGTTGTCTTCACTGTGCTTACCTCCTCGGGATACAGGTCCCGCTCCTCGTACCGCGGCATGTGCTCGCTCAGCCCCATGGTCTTGAAGCCAATGGATATGGCATGCTGGATGATGGCCTCGAGCTGGTCGACGGCGTGGCCCGGGCAGAACTCGCCCGAGTGCGAGTGCATTGTGAAGGCCATGGCGGGCGTATGGAAGGAAGGGAGAGAGCCAAAGGAGGCTCAATTGGACGTTGCCCTTTCACTCTGCTGCCTGGGAAGGTAGAATCCGATACGGGGAGGTTTATAAAATGTAAGACCAAAAATAAAAAATCTCTATAATGTGGCGGTGATGCGCACATGCGAGGGTGGTGACGCTTATGGCGATGGCTGTGGCGCTCCGGAGTCAGTGCCATATTTTTTTTCTTTAATCCCGCTCGGCCGCCCGCGGAGGGACCCCTCATGAGATCACCGCCCCCGTCCGCGCCGCCGCCGCCCCCAAGTCCGCTGTCAATCCACTGAATGCGCCCCGGGACCGCGCCGCGCTCGGTGCGCGCAACCCCCAAAAATTGGGGATCCAGGGATGCGGATGCCTCGGCCGGCACTGCGTCACTAGCTGCCTTGGCTAGATACGTGCCCTTGGATCCTCGTACGTACGTACGTGCAGGGTATCGTATAGTACTTTCTACGCATGCGTGTACTACTGCTACGCGCAGAGAGTCGAGTGTCACATGAAGCCGGGCGCCGCCACTCGCAGAAAAAACAAGAGGCGGAGTTTGGGAGCCACTTGTGGTCGAGTTAGCATGCACGTGGGCTGGATGACGGCGCTGGATGAATCCGGAACCAGATAATACAGTACCCAAGAGTATTGGCTACCGGAGGTGGCCTGACGGGCAGTAATTATTCGCTAGGCGACTTATTTTGATGGGGTTTACCTTGTTCAATTTGGGCCACTTGGCTGCTCTCCTTACTACAGCCTCGGACCTCGCAGGAGGACCATCGTGAGTTCTGTGTAAGTGCTCCTCGGAGTAATGTGTCATTCGCCCCGTACAGAACGTTCCAGGAGACATATCTTCCGAGCCCTTGACTAGTTTAGTTTCTTGCTGCAGTTGCCGTCGGAGCAAGGCCAACCGTGTAGTAGTTCTTGACCTGCTCAAGCCGACAGACAAGTCGTCCCTTTTACCACGCCCTCATCCGAGCTCATCCTCACCGGGATCTTACCCGCCACCCACGGCCAGGCCAACAGAGACCGACAACCCATATCCGCAACGCCTTCAACCCCGGCCACTCCACTTGTAGTATCCCGCCGTCCCGCCTCGACGCCGCCAATCCGGGGAAACAACAAGCCCAGGCGCTGCTACGCATGCCAAGCGACCCCAGAAAACCCCGCCCGTCACACCTGCATGATTCACCTCAGCTTGCAGTGCGCGCCAGAAAACAGCGAGGGCATCCCGCCTTCGTCTCAACGGCTGCGATACTTTTTACCGACCTTTGACCGCGAATCGACGTCTATATACCGAACACCAGCCGTGTCTCTCCGGTTCGACGTCAAAGGCGGCGCCCATGCATGCTACGCCGGTGCTTGAAGTGTCCGTGCCGTTCCCCTCACTGTCGTGCGAGCTCAGCGTGCAGGCAGTACGCGCATGTGCTTGTCAGCGACGTTGGGACGCCGTCACGCCTCGTCTTGGAAAGCTCTTTGGCCTTCGTATACTAAAGTGGCGCGACATGCAGATGTTGTTGCACCGTGGGAAATACCATGGTCAACGGATATGTACGGACGTTGAAAGGCGTCCGAGACAGGCATCCGGTGATATCTCGACTCCATGGCGTGCTGGCCAGCACCGTTATCGTTGCCCCATGGTGTTTCTTTATGAGCTACTCCTCTACATTCTCATCAGAGTTGTACTTGGCCGCACAGCCGTGCACAGGATTCATCATTCGCCGGTTTCGATCCTCATTAAGTTGAATCAATACTCATACACCAAAGACTGAGGCAACTATAAGACAAAATAACAGCGGCGTCTGAAGTGACTGAAAGCAGAAAACTCAAACGACTTGGGTATCAAGCCTCAGAAAAACTCCCAGATATTCTTCTTCCACCACGGCTTCTTGTGTACTTCCTCCCGTCTGTATCCTTCTTCCATCACGTCGTGCTGGCCAACAATAGTCAAAAACACTTCGTTGAGGGTGGTGGGGCTGACGCTATGATGAGCGATACCCAGGGCGTCCTTGTTCTCCTCAAGGACGATCAGAAGCTGTCCAATGGCACTGCCGGTGTCCTCGGCATCTGCGCCTGGGCGGCCACCCTTCCGTTTCTGCAATTCCCTGACCGATTCCGTCGGAATCGAGAAGCGCATTTGTCCGTGGAACGTCTCCTGCTCAACCTCGGCGCCCCGGAAGGTGCCCAGGATCCACGTCCGCACACGATCCATCTCTTCAGGTGTCGAGTGGGGTGCCGTCTTACTCACGAGATGGACGTGAAGGGTATCGCCAAAGCGGTGACGGAGAGAGTCGGTTGCACCCAGTGCAAGCATCCTCCGAGCCATGATGCCAGCTCGGTTCGCCAGTGCATCGGCCTCTTCCATGCTATGGGTCGTAAGCAGGATGGATCGGCCGGGGATAATAGTCTCGAGCGTTCGCCACATGATGCGTTTTGCGGCAGCGTCTAAACCTGATGACGGCTCGTCTAGTAGGATCACGGATGGGTTGCCAGTGAGCGCGATCGCGAGAGATAGCTTGCGCTTATTGCCGCCAGAGAGTGTGTGGGCCATGACATTTGTGTAGGCGCCCAAGCCGACAGCACGAACCACGGCGTCGACCTGATGCTTCACGTCGGCGATGCCCCTGATGCGTGCGAAGTGCTCTAGGTGCTCGGTCACAGTCATGGAGTCGATGGCGTCGAACTGGGGGCAGACACCAAGGTTCTGCCGGGCGAGCGGCCGGTTCTTAGAGACTGAAGCATTCTCGACGAAGACGTCGCCGCCCCTCTTGCTGGTTGCGAGGTCGCCGCGGATGAGCGAAATGGTGGTGGACTTGCCCGCGCCGTTGGGGCCCAGAAGCGCAAAGACCTCGCCGTGTTCAACGCCAAAAGTGACATTGTCCACGGCAGTGTTGTTGCCGAACGCCTTGGTTAGATGGACAACGCGGAGGCCATCCTTTTGCCCCTCAGGACCGTCAACACGGTCCACCTCGTTCGCAATTTCCGGGTCGTCGACTTCGTTCGACTTCCTAGCCATCCCTGTGTTGAACTTGCCGCTTCCACTTTCGAACCACACGACGAGGCTGAAGAGAATAATGGCTTGCAACGAGAGGTAAAGAATCGGGCCACCAAATGCGGTGATAGCGCCGGGATATGCTCTGAGCTTGTCGCCGTCACACGAGGCCGAAAAAGTATTGAGGGCAACGAAGAAGGCTCGCACAAGGGAGCCGGTGGGAAATATGGCCGATATGACCCAATGTCCGATAAGAATGTTACGGTCTGCATCTGCGGCCGAGGAAAAGGTGAGAATGTAAAGGAAAGCGATCATATAGACAGCGAAACCGAGACCTTGCAGTACCGATGTGGCGGCGTATGTGGCGAGAGAGCTTCCCAAGAAGAGGGAGAAGAAGTAGGCCACGAGAATCGAAACCATCCCGTACAACATCAGCACGGGGAAAAGATAGCCAATGTTGTACCAAATGTCCGATGAAGCGGCAAATATGACGGTTACCAGAGCCATGGAGACGAGAATGATGGAAAAGTCAAAGATGAGATGGGCTGCCCACGTTGGTAGTGTGCGTGCACCACTTGAGTATTGCAGCCCCCTGACGTTCATGCGACGTTCGATGTTGGGATACAGCCCAAAAAGACCGGGGTAGATGGAACAAGCGAGGGCAAAGTACACGACGACCTGAAGAGCCTTGCCTGTTCCGGGTGCCACCGGGGAGTCGAAGATGGAGTACGTGGTAGCGATGGTCTTGTTGGCGAGCATGCTGTTCATCAAGTTCTGGGTTATAACCGCGGTGAGCATCGAGTACTTGTCGGCCTTGTATGCGACGGTTGGAAGGGCTCCAGAGCCACCCAGGAACCAGCCGCCTGGCGTCACATTCTTGCGGTTGTCCTCGATGAAGGACTTGAAGCCGTCCAAAGAGTCGACCAGTTTGACTGTGACGTTGCCGACAGAGGTTTCGCCGTTTCCATTGCCTGACCCAGAGCCGCCAGGTAGCAATGGCTTGAGAAGATTGAGAACGCTCGAGCTATCAAACTTGGACGACGGCCCACCAACAATCATGGCCGTGTTCACAAGCTCTTCAAAGTCGTCGTTCGAGTCCTGGCTGCTTTGTTCGCTCGGAAGACATCCCACTGCCCCTTCGTTTCTGACGAGGATCTGTGTAATGGCCGCAGCGATGATGGGGATCAAAAAGGCTGCGACGTACGGAATCCAGTTTGTCTTGAAGATGACGAGTCGCTTGCGAAGGAAGACCATGATTTGTTTAGCCCAGCCGATAGTACGGCCAGGAAGGAGGCCTTGAGCGGCTCCCTTGGAGCCACCATTCGGCAGTACGGTGTCCTCCGAGCCGAAAGGCGACTTTTCCTTTGCGAGAGGTGGTCGTCCAGCATTCTGAGCCGAGCCACCATACGCTGCCTCGTCTCTTACCTCTTCGGCCAAATTGAGGAAAACGTCTTCGATCGTGGGGCCAGAAAATCTGTACGGGATGTTCTCCGCTTCGAGTACTCGAATTACCTCTGCCGCCAGAGCTGACGTTGGAGCAACGTAGGTCATAGTGTTTGCTTCCATTTTGCAATCTACACCCACCACTTGGGGTGCATGTTGAATCTTGCGTGAATTGAGGACGTGGACACGGTAGCCCGCGCCGAAAGTATCCTTGAGCTGTGCCGATGAGCCCCCGGCTCGTAGTTTTCCCTTGGAAAGTATGGCGATATTGTCTGCAAGTAAGTCTGCTTCATCAAGGAAGTGTGTAGTCATGATGATTGTACGGCTGCCGCGTTCCGAAAGCAAAATGTCCCAAATTTTGCGTCGTGAGAGAGGGTCGATGCCCGAAGATACCTCGTCTACACAGCAGACAGCGCTGCCGCCTGTGAGCATCATTCCGAGCTGAAGTTTGCGCTTCTGTCCGCCGGAGAGTGTTTTAGACGGGGATTTGGCCTTTTGCCGCAGGCCAATAGCATCGATAAGTGCCATTGTTTCCTCTCGAGTTGCGTGTTTATGGGGTGATTTGAGCTGGTTGAACAAAGTGATGTGCTCTTCGACAGTGAGCTCGTCCCAAAGAACATTCTTCTGTGGCGCGATTCCTAGGCCGCCACTTGCATCGATGGAGACATTGCCACTAGTAAAGTTGCTGATGCCGGCGATAATGTCCAACGTGGTGCTTTTGCCGCTGCCGTTGGCACCAAGAAGTGCTAAAATCTGACCCTTCTTGGCCGTCAGAGTGAGGTTGTCGACAGCAACGACTTTGGGGCGTGGAGGCGAGACAAACGAAAACAGCCGACGAAGGAAACTGGGTTGATATATCTTGGTCATGTTCTCGACACGAACAACATCGGGCGCCGAAGCGCCAGATTGGCCTGCTTTAGACGGGCCGGAGCTGCGAACGCCAGTCGTGACGCCGTGAAATGTTCGTTCAAGGTAGGCTGCGAGTACTGGATACGCAAAGATATGCACCCCGAGGAAAACCCAGAGGACGATTCCAGGTAAATTCCACGGGCTCTCGGGAGGCGCGTTGAGTAGGTTGGTAGCCCTGCCGACTTGCTCGTATCGGGCGACGTACGTGATGAAGAAGACAAAGGTGCATGGGGTGAACAGCAAACTGAGAACGACAACGGGCCCAGTTCCAGGGTTTGTCAGTGCCTGGGCAATGATGCCCAGCACAATCCAGACGACTGCGGTAACAACTCCTGAGAGCTGTGCCTTCCGAAAGAATGACGCGCCTAGCAGGGACATTGAGGTGATGGCAATGCCACTCAGCAAGAAAAAGACGATGAGAACGCCAAAGTTTGTTTCCTTCCAGATCATGATGCGGCAGATGACGGCTGCAATAATCCAACCGGGCATGTACGTGACCATGAAGGCGTTGTGGTGAGAGATGAGGCGGGCAAACTGACGATGCCAGCCACGGGTGGCGGGCATCATGGCATCGATGAGCTGGGATAGACCCTTCTCGCGTTCCGTGGCTATTAGGCCAGGCATATGGTAGCAGACACCGATCAGAGCAATGAGAAAAGCAACGCTCAGATAGTTGATGAAGGATGATTGGTAGTCGCGACGAAGCTTCGCCTCGCGTTCATCTTCAGTATCGGCCGTGTACGGAAATTGTTGTGTCTTTGAGGGGAATGAGTCTCCTGCGATGGAGCGGTCGATCGCTTGCTGCAGCGGTAGAGCATAGAGCTGGGCGTCATTGTCGTCCGAGTCTACCTTGAAGTCGAGGCCTAGGCCACCGTCTGCGCGAAGGGTGTAATTCCAGATACCGCCATTGCCTTCGTCAGGGGACGAGTGAAAGACAACAGCGCCGAAGCATTTAGACGTCCCACGAATGGAGCTGCGGCAGACATAGCCGAGCTCGTCTTCTGACTCGAGTCTGCTCGCGTTCTTCCCAGCGCCCGTGACTATTTCCGCGACCGAGGATATGACACGCTCAATCTCGCCGCCCGCGTGGCCGTTGTTGACTAGGGCAACCGTGTTTCGTCCGCCTTCGGCGTTTCCAAGGGCATCTCCAAGAGATCGGATATCCTGTAGGTCGCCGAAGCCAAATTTCGAATTAGGTTGGTTGAACTGTCGACCCAGACCAAGGTAGACGGAGGCGACGACGGGCAGGATGAGGGCGCTGTACAGCGTCGTGGTGAAGTGGCGTGTGAGGATGATTTTGAGCGTCTTATTGGTGAGGGTGTTTGTTTGCCGGTAGAGGTCCATGGCGAGCAGCTGGAGGCCTATCTGGCCGTCAACGGACCTGAGCTTGCCTAATTCTCAGCGCGTTTGGTGATCGTAAAGCTAGGTGAGAAGAGTCGTCCCTTGGGCCGAAAGGCTGAGAGAGCGCGAGTTGGAAAGCAACGCTAACAGCAAAACATACGCAGACCATCAGAGCCATCAAAAACCGTCCTAGGAGTCTCATGGCTATATAAATCCTCCCGCCAGAATGCGCAATGACGACGCCCTGCTATTGTGGCCAAGACTTCACAAGCATCGCGCTGATGCCTTTTTACCCTTTTGGGCAATATGCAGCGCTGGCGATCATCCAGTGGGTCTCGTCGAAATGGCAGTGCTCGAGGCTGAACGAAACTGAAGAACGTCAGCGGGTCTGTGTGACGCAAAGCCACGAAGACATGCCGGAGGGATTTGGCAATGATGTTTGAGAAGTTACGGTTGTTTCGAGGCATTCACGCGCCTGTTGTTCACCATGAGTCGGCTTCACCGACACCTTTCCCTGCCAGATGATGGTGATGCGTCCCGCAGCCCAGATAGGGCTGAAGCACTCGGGTACGGGAGTCGCGCTCTCTGGTGCCGTACCCAAGCGAGGAGATGACCCCTGGCCATCCGACCCCGGTCGCGTGCCGGGACGGCGGCTGCAGGTAGGTCCTGGAGGGTCGAAAGGCACGCATACATAGGCTTTTCCAGCGCCGCATCAATACTGGTGTTTGAAGTCGTGCCGTCTTATTCGTTGGAGAATCGCAGGCAGTGCGGTGAAGTTGGACTGCGGACGGGAACCCGATGAATACGCCCTGCCCTGCCACCGCCCAGATCGAGCGCGATCGTCGTATTGGTCTGATCTCCTCCAAACACGCCGCTGCCAGGGGTCACCAGCGTCGGCAGGGCCTGACGTCGCGATAGCCGACAACGAGAGCCTGGCTCCACAACAGCGGTACGGCACTGAGAGTGACATGGCAGATGACTTCTCGTTCCAGACGTCGTCTGTGCGGACAATGTATCGCAGTCGACATCGCTGCACTGCCGGAACTGCCACATATCTACAGTTGAGACTCACAGCGTATACTGCGGCTGGAGGCCCTGAACTTCCGAAATGTCGCGTACGTGTGATCCGTGTCTACTCCCAATATCTCGGCTGCTTCAGGCACTATCTAGCGTCATTCAGGCCTGCTCTGCGTGCGCAATGTCAACGTTCCTACAAGCGTCTCAGAAGAGACCCGGCTCGAACGATGGACTGCGTGGTGACGATTGCCTTGGCCACGCGGTGCGCCACAGCGACGAGGACAATGCTCCCACAGGTCCGTGGTTGCTGCCATACCGTCGCGAGGCTCGCGATTCCAGCTGCTGAAAGCGTGGTGGGTTGAGCAGCGCTGCATTGTGCCGAGGCGGGTGACGCTTCGCTGCCTCATGTACGTAATTCTGCGCGATGCCCAACTGGGTAATCTTCTGCGCTCGCTAATTGACTGGACCCTTGGTGCTGAATGGATCTGAGGCCCGCTATAATATTCATGCCGCAGGCGGAGCCGACAGTTGCGAAGCCCACTGTGGGGAAGCCGGTAGTGAAGGTGGACGGCAAGGATGGCCTGTGTGAAGCTCAAGACGTGTCCAGGGCGAGCTTGGTGACACGTCTTTCATCGACGTCTCCTAGAAAATCCGCCCCAACTTCTCATCAATTGAAGAGGCAGCTGCAACGGCAGTGCTCTTTCCTCCATGCTCGAGGTTGCGGGCCGGGGGCTGGAAAAACAAACTTGCGGCCCCGAGAGGCATCCGCCACGTCCAAACTATCGAGCCCGCTGCTTGAAGTCTGTCGCCAACAAGACGCCCGATGCATCCGCCCGCTCGATCATGATGAACTCGTCCGCTGCATCACCACCGCCTCGATGCACGCAGATAGCTTCTGTTGGCTAACGTAGCCATGTCGCCTGGAGCCATCAGTGATCATGGAGCTCCGACGCTCCCCTCGCCAGCCGAGATCAGGGCTCTGAACCGACTGCTCAACAACGTGCGCGGAGACAGCTACAGGCGACCCCCGCCCGTTCGAATACCTCCTCTAGGCTTGTTCGTCAGGTACGGAGCCGACGTCACCGTCACCGAAGCCATCACGCAAACCTGGGTTCGCGACCAGCTCCGAGGGCTTGTCACCGTGCCGGAAGTCTTTGGCTGGACGCAGGATGGTGGCCAGACCTTCATTTACATGTCGCTGATCGAGGGTACGCCTCTCAATCAGGCATGGCCACGCCTGTCGGATGAGGCCAGACGAGGTGTCTGCGGTGAGCTCCGACAAGCCGTAACGTCATGGAGGAGCCTTGAACAGGGAAGGCATGATCATTACGTTGGTACGCGATAGTCTTCGTTGTCGAGTCGACAGGCACTGATCCGTCAATTCGTAGGCAAGCTGAACAGACAGCCGCTCAACGACACGATTCTGAGCTACCGGCCCAAGCTGACCGGCCCGTTCCAAGGTGCCGAGGCTGTCCAGCAGCTACAGGAAGCTTGCGACATTCACATTGGCGCCGACGAGCAAACCGTCTTCACACATAACAGCCTCATTGCGCCTAACGTCCTTCTGTCTCCAGGACCGCGACCGCATGTAGCCGCTGTTGTTGGCTGGGGCCAAGCGGGATGGTACCCAGCGTACTGGGAGTATTGCAAAGCCCGATATATGAGCGCGCATCCAATGCGTTGGAGTCGCCGTGCCCAGGAGGAGTGGCAATCCCAATATCTTCCTTCGATCATTGACCCTGTGGATGACGAAGTCTGCTGGCGCCCGTGGCTCGCCTTTGCGCTTTCCAACGCCTGAGGCGAATGCACATATATACGACTTGCTGGACCCGACCGCCGTCACACGTTGTTCGCTCAAGTCGGGCCACTGTGAATATGCTAACGGCCGAGCTCACGTCGCTTTCCTTGCTGCAATCAAGCATTGCGGCTATCATCTGTCCATATTGGCACTGCAAACAGGATGGTGTTTGTGATTTTTGGCACTGGGGAACTTTTTGTATATGCGCCGGTGTAGCTGGACGGGACTAGGATGAAGCCTTCATGGCCAACAACATTGGTCAGTGTGTTTATACCTTGCCTTATTTAGTGTTTGCGTGTCTAAGCAGCTATATCGAAGTAGGTTTCTGAGTGGCCACCCAAGAAACCAGTCCTCTTCAATCTTGCCTAATGTCTTTTGTAAAGGAAGCATGCGATCCTTGACGACTGGCTACCACGAATCAACGACGTGCAAGCGATGGTCCTGGGAGGCTCAGCGCAGAGGTTGATGTTTTACATGATGGCGGCAGCCGCGGCTACGATTCCCTGAGCCGCATCTAGGAGAATTCTTTTCCGCGAGTCAAAATGCGAAGCTGCCTTGTGCAGTTACTGCCGCCGATCGCACCGCCAAACTGATGTGTTATTTACAGGGATTACAGCAGCAGGCGTGTTTGGTGATCGTATGCTCATTCAGCAAGGATACTCAGGCAGGGTTGAGAATGAGTGAGAGGGGGTGAGCCGAGGAACTTCCTGAGGATGTGAATCCCAGATAGCTCCGCTTGCCGCGCGTTGGTATAGTAGTTCAACTCCGCGCCTAGCTGCGACGAGTTGTCGCCACACATGTATGCAAGGGAACACCAGTTCCTGGTATCGAGTGGCAGATCAAGACCACTTTGGCATAGCAAATGCACCTCTCGTGCGCCACGAGCAGACTTGACAAGAGTGAAGAGGCGGGCGGCTCCTGTGACCTTGTCTGATCTTCTCAATGTGGTACCGATGCCCCTGTCGCCCCTGTCGCCCCTGAATCCTTCGGTGCACTAGAGGCAGGGACGATGGTATGCAAGTGGCACCTTCACCGCAGACACCTCTGAGCAGCATTGTTGCAATGATACTATGGCCCATGCGTGCAGTAGTTGATGCGTCCTAAAGCACGTCTTTGTGCATCTTGAGACTGGAAGGTCGGGAGTTGTCCGTGCACGTAGCCAGCCGAGCAGTCTTTCTGGGCCTGACAAGTCTGAACGAGCTTGTCGAAGCCTCATTAAAGTCGCTCAGGCGAGTGGTAACTGCATCGTACGACTTACACCGCTTGTATTGGTGCGCTTGACGGTCAACGTGCGCTAAGCTCAGGACCAGACTGAAGCCTCTCGCCCTCGCAGTGTTGGCGGACTGATTGATGTCAACGCACACCACGTGGCATCGATGCCGCCCCATGCGACGCGACGCCAAGAACAAATAGTCGCCCGTCCAGTCTTCCTCGGCCTGAAACCAAGATTGGCGGTCGGCATTTCTAGCCTCGCGTTGGAGGCTTCAGGTGCTACCCTGCTCGTCATGCCGCCTGCCAATCTCAATCCTTGTGCCCGATGGCGTCTCGGCGTCTCCGAGTGATAATCGCCCAATGTGTAGCATCGAATCCTCTGCATGTTTACATAGAGCTGCTCGCCCGCGAAGCTCGGGGTGCGAATGCGCGAGACCGCGAGCCCGCTGCCGACAAAACGCGGGCCATGCCGAGACCAAGAAGCGCGGGCCGCGGCTTGACCTGCGGCTGGGGAACAGACCATGCGGACTTGTGTGGCCACCACTCCCCTTCTCACAAGCCCCTGGGCTGAATGGGTACCGGATAGATGCCATGGTAGTTTCTTTTTCGTTGGACGATGCAAATGCTGGAATTGTTCGTCGGAGCTGGTGACCAATGGCGGTTGCTGCACCGCATCTCCGTATTTCCTATTTGGGTAATTGAAGCCCGAGATTCATAATGTCGGAAGCCTCACTCTTGCCGACTGTCGCTGCTTAGGAGTCTCGCCTGCCTGTTCACGATTTCCAAGCAAGCCACTTACGCGAAGAGAGCCTGGAGGGCTGGAATACAGTTCCTCTGCAGAGTTCCGCCCCGGGCCCGACCGTCCGCCAGTTTCGGCCGAGTCCAGGACACATCGGCGCCCGCAGCTTGACGTCGCACGAGCCCGTGAAGCTTGACAAGCCTCGGCGCGAATCCCTGCCGCCAACAAACATTGGGGCGTATGCCAGCCGTCGGACCTGAGAACAACGGGCGTGCTGATCGTGGAGTCGTCTGTGAAACGGCGGCAAGCGAAGTGGCTTCTTGGCTTCAATGTTTCTTTCTCCCGAAACGCCGGGCGTATGTGCGCGCAGCGGCGAGAGTCCGTACTTGTACGCCCTTTCTGTGAGACCGGGCTCCTGAGTAGGATCGACCCCGCTGCTGGCGAGAGCTGCTGCTGAACCGTAGGGCTGCTGGCCGCCCAGTGTTCCTGGTCGGGGTGCATGCCGCAACTGAGCTCTTTTCGCTTCAAATGTGGCGTGCTGATGTGCAGCGGCTCCGTTCAGCTTCAATGCCCTGGCCGGACTTTCTCAGGTCGTTGCCAATATGTACAGTACTTGTTCGACTCGAAAGGGCATTCCGATATGCAGAGGCAAGCCGGCCGGCGCCGCGAATGCATGTGCTCTCGCGGCGGTATGCGGCTACATCATGTCACGCCCGCGGCGCTGGAAGGCGACCTTGTAACTGCCAGAGGGCATATACAAACTGCGTCTGTCATTACGTACTTTGTACTTGTATGCTGAGCTACCTCGGCCTCTCGCTGTTGGGCAGGGACAGGGTCGGTTTGTCGGTGCCAGCTCAATGCTGCGGCTTGCCCGATGCGGTTCCATGCGAGCCTCGAGTCAAACCACCAACATGGGAGGAAACCGGGACGCGCGCTCGGAGAATTCTCTTGATGACAGCGCAGCGCGGGCTTAATGGAGATATAAGAATGCACGGCAAGGAGGGATGTATCCAGTCGGGCTTTACACAATTCTCCTTTGTCTGTATATAGTTTGGGCATGTTGCCCGACAGCAGCTGGACCTCAATCGTGTAACTGGTGCAGTGGTACGAGCGAGCCGGGTGCGAGCCGACGAAGCTTGTTCAATACTTCTGTGAGACGCCATGGCGGCGTCCCTGGGCGGCAGTATTTCCGCCCGGGGATAGTTGCCCGGCGTAAGTAGAGTGCAAAGCCAACCGTGCGAATTGTGTCTTCCGATGTAGCCGAATCAATGCGCTGTACTCTACCCATTCTCACGGTGATGCCGTTTGCTGCGTGCTGCAGCGTGTGCCAGGGAACTGGGTCCTTGCATATGAACTTGCCACTGTGCCGCCTCCGTAGCCTCAAACGTGGTGTAGTCATCCAAGCTGAAAGGTGATCCATCTCCGACAATCTGCAGTTCTATAGCGTTTCGTACGTGGGCACCTCTATTCTTTCTCCTTGCCACCAGGAAATATAGCGGCGTAATCACCCCCTGAACGTCAGAGATGCAGCAGCTACATGCTCTTCCAACCAGGGCGTGCCTGGATGTCATGCCCGCTTCACGTGTAATCCCTAAGTTCACGCCATAGGCTATAATAAACCCAACAAGGGCTTGAGCTCTTCATGTCCACGCGTCCCAAGGTGCCACTGCCTTGGCACGCGGAAACAGCGGCGACTCTCACGTCTGAAAGTCCACAAGACGCGTCGCAAAGACCACACACGATCATGGCAGACTGAGTGGAATGTTCCGTCCCGCCCACCTCCCCCGCGGTTAAATGTTGCTGGGCGCTCTGCCAAGACATGAGAAAAGCCTCTCCGCAATCCTGCAGACAATGGTCCGCCGGACAGTGCAAATCGATAGCCCCTTTTGGGTCGGATGACCCCCTTGGCACCACGGACCTCGTGGCTTGACCGGTCGACTGTCGTAGATCACTATCGGCTGGACAGTTCCGCTCGTCACGCCTGACTCGACCTGCCATTGTGTGCCCCTGGGATGCAGTTCGCCCAGACTCGAAGCCTTTGCACTTGTGGCTTGGCAAAGATGTTGATTTGGGACTAAACCCAGAGTACGTACTGGGCTCTCTACATGAGCGTGAACACTGCGCCGAGGCTCGCTGGATATCGTACTTTTTCGCGAATCGTGCCGGCACTTCAGAAGCCCAGGACCTTGATCTTAGGATCAGCATCCTGTTCATACATATATGCGTCATTGGCTGCGGCCTCATGCGGGGCATCTCTGGGCCTCCTCGCCAGGTCCCGGGATCATGCGGAGGATCCCATCCATGGGAACGTGGGTTTTAGCGAGGCATGTACGGAGCTTCCTCCTGGGGCTAGGCCAGGGATTTGAGTAGTATTGGTCTTGGCCCATCATGCCCCCCTTGTTGACACCATGCTGGCCCATCGCCGCGCCGGCACTCTGGGGGCGCAAAGGGTCCCGGCAATGCTTTTCGGCTGGGCGATGATGCGCTGCTTTGTAGACTTGGCCATCACGCTTTATTGAGACCGCACGGACTTCCGCCGTTAGCAGATGGGATGCCAAGCAGCGAGGGCGACATGATCGACGGCACGAATCCTTCAGGGCGTCCTGCCAGATTGACGACGTACGTAAAAGCGAGCAAATTTGCCCCGATGTCGCCCCGTGTCGTGGAGAAGACCAAACGGTTGGGATTTGACCCCCTGTGATGGCTCCAGCGAGTCCTCCACTGCCCAGGCAGCCGGCACCTGTCACTCGATGTCATCCATGGGATGCGGTTGGGATCAAGAACGAAGAGCCAGCGCGTTATTGGCAGGACGCGAAGCAAGCTAGATGCAAAAGGAGTCAAGGCTCGAGGCCAAGAATCTGCTCACGGAACATTCCATATCGTCGGAACACGCGACTTCTGTCTCACCCAACGAGCCGGGCTCGGGCACTAGGGCCAGAACTCCCCGTCCGCTTTCGGCACTCGGGAGAATGTGGCCCAGATGTGTGGCTGAGCCGTTGACAGAATGGGGGAGTGCATTCGAAGCTGGGCCCGTTGGGCTGGTTGTCATGCGGCCCGTTGAAGCAAACGATGACGCCCCCGAGCCCACTGCTTCGGCAGCAGGGTTGCCGTGGTTGGAGAGGCGTCGACTTCAGCCTCTGCCTGCCTCGCAGCAGCCGGCACCTTCGCGAAGGTTGATTAGCGTCTGCCCCCAAAGCAGCCACCACCCCCCCGGGCAACGGTCCATGGGGGCTGTCCATACGAATGGGCGAGGTTTGACAGGCGAAGGCTGCTGCTCCATAAATGACGACGGCGGCGGCAGGCCCGAGCAAACTTTTGCCGCCCGGCTGTCGCGCCGATAGCCCTCGGTCTCGCTTGCACCGCTCGCTACGTTGCACGGAAGGATTGTGGCGCGCCTCTGCTTGCTGCCACTTGTATTATGGAGTTGCCAACTTACAGCCCTCTCGTTTTGTGTCCCCCCCTTTGGCCACGGCCCCTAACCGCCTTTGCCGCCAAGGCGACGCCATAGCCCTTTACTTAGAGTACTGAGTGAATCACCACAGAGCACACGCGCCGGAGAACGCCGGCTGTCGAGCCCAGTCGACGCTCGACAGCCCGCGGGTCAAAGAGTGCCGAGGAGCGATAGCCGGGGCTGGGCTGGGGTCGGGAGAAGGGCCGGATGCGGCTCCACAAGGCGGCAGCTGAAAATAGATGTAGTGCGTTGCAAAGTGCTCGAGATCCGGCTCAGAAAACTTTCCAATTAGCCTATTACCCATTGCACACCTCAGACGAATGCCTCTGGTGCGGGACGGAGATGGTGAGGGTTCCCCGAAGGACGACGTTCCTCTTGTTGTAAGTTGAGGGCACTGCTTTTGCTTTGCTTGTCCAGCCCGCCATGTCGGCCAATCCAGACGCCTTGCGTCGACGGGCTGCAACGACCTTGCCTATAGCCTAGACGGGAAAGCCGTGTTTGTGACCGGTCAGCGGGCCTGTCTCGAGTGTGAACTTCCGCGGCCGATCTGTCACTTTCAACCATGCGTCTGGGCTGCCATCTCGAGATGAACACCAAGCCCACCCGTTGTCGTACAAAGACAGGGGAGAGCCCCTGCCTGTACGAGCACTGTAGCACGGCCGTACGAGGTCGAGGTCGCCCCCGCCGCCTCCTGCCGCTGGGTTCAGAGAAGGCAGGATCCAGTTCGGTCGTGGAGTCCTGGCAGCCACAACTGGCCAAGGTTCGACGTGCTCGTATCGACTGCCCGCTGGGTATTGGGTCGGTAGCTCCCCACCGCCCTGCCGGGTCCCTGAGCGCCCTCAGCCCTGCCGCAAGGCGCCGAGGGAGTGGTTGACGGGGGACTATAGCCTGAATTAATGGGACGGGTGCAAAAGGGCCGTGGCGTCTGTGGACCCTCCCTCTTCGTTACGATGGCCGCCAGGCATGCCACTACTACTACTGACCCGATACTCGATGGCTTCTCTCCATGGCGCAGGGCGCGACCTCTATTACCGCCGTTATAGCTCCGATTACTGTTGAGCCCGGTGCCGTGTAAGTGTCGCGTCGAGCTCGGTCTGTCGGTGAAAGATACTCATCCGAGGCGGACAGAACGGCATCATGGAGCCGACAAGCTCATCTTGAAACGCGTTCTGGGCATGCGAGACGAGTCAGGTCCAAGCAACCGGTTGGGGCTTGGCCTGCAAGCACTGCCCAACGGCATCTCCCGCTCGGTCCACACTCCTGGCAGTGCCGTCTGCCTGCGACGATGAAGAATGCAGGTCATCGACTCGGCACTGCTGCAGAGAGAGGCCTTTTCCTGCATGTGATGGTCCCGGCAGCACGGCGTCCGCGGCCATCGGCCGAGCAGCGAAATGCTACCGAGACCGGCCGCACCATCTGGTCCTCATCACTTGCTTGGCCAATTCGCCCTCGCCCGGGAGGGGAGGCAAGAGCCATACATTGTAGGCACAGTAGACTTGGGAATATGCGACCAAGCACGGACTACAAACAGTGGACTGTTCGGTGACCCCAATGGTAGAGACACCCAATAGCGAGACACGCAGCTTCGCAGTCGGCATTGAATGTCTGGACGGTAGTTCAAGGCCCGACATGAAAGGACGCATGAGATGATGGATGGGTCGGCCAGCAGGGACACCGACCGCCGTGGGGGTTACGTAGCTGCTGCCCAGGTGCCATCGAACTCACTGTGGAGGTGGCGTGCGCCACCCAAGGGAAGGGGGGTGAGGTGCCAAAGGATCAGGTCGGGGGGGCTGCATGTCTTAGGCGAAGCAGCAGCATGGCGTCCAAGTCGCTTCCACGGCAGCCGTCGTGGCGTACGGCAGCGCCAGCGTCTCAGCGTCCGCAGGACGGGCCTCGGGGCTTCCATGGGGAAAGGCTAAACATGAAGAACCTGTCCCTTGGCCTGCGACTCTACTGTACCGCGTACGCGTCGCGCGCGTCTCGTCCCTCTGGTGGAGGGTGGCGGCTCGCAAGCCTCGTACACCGTTTCGGTTGCGTTCCTGCGGATCACTAGATGAACGGAAGCCGGCTGCCGGTCGACAAGGCACCGAGATTCCCAAGAGCCGGGACGCATCCAAACGCCTCCATTGGATGCTAGGCCGTTGGCTGGTGCGGGTGGCGATCGCTTCACGTCGATGAGTCCAAGCCCGCCCGGCGCAGGTACAGAGTAAGATCGAGCCCAGAACACATGGCCACGACCGATGTTCCCCGGCCCAGACACGTCAACCTTTGCCCCATCTTTGCGGATAAGTGTCTCAGTGACAGTCTGCCCGCTGCGGGGCGCATACATGTATGTTTCTGTGATGCAAGTGCCGCGAGTCGAACGGCGACTTACACGCCGACCCGGAACATGCGGCAGCATCAGGGCAGCACCATGGCGTGCAACGAGTAGGCAAAGAACAATGACAACTGGCATAAAAGAGTCATAAGCTTGTACGGGAGCCATTTCTGTAGCCCTATGCCGTACGTACGAATGATGGTCTAAAAATTGAGGGCGGCCGTGTAAAGGGGGTGTGGGTTATGGTTTGGGCGGCGGTGCGCCTCATCCTCGTGCCGCACCCACACACTCGGCAAGCCCGCCGTCACCCACCAAGTACCAGATCCCACAGTCTAAGCAGTCCCGCAGGATGAGCGATGCAGAAACGACTCGTACCTTGCTCCACCACCACCACCAAGGGGGGCGTGTGCGGCGAGAAGCGCCCCGGGTTGGTGTTGGTGGTGGTGGCGCGGTGGCATGAGCTGCCGGGATCGCGAAGGGCGTCAGGGTTCCTTGTGCGCCGTAGGCACCAGGCAGGCAGGACATACGGACAGGAAGGGCCAGGTCAACTGCATGCCTTGTCTTGGGTGCTCTCCACGGCTCGGTCTCTTTCGGGAAAACCGACCTAATGTCGTCCCGACTGGGCTGGACATCGGACGCCTCACTGGCAAAGGGACCTACACTAAGTACCTCTACCGCCGCTAGACCCTGTCCTGCCTGCCTTTCTCATGCTCACTTATACCTCTGTACGGGCCAAAGACGGCGAGACAGCGCCGATACACACGCATCGGCCCGGATGAGGATCGAGGAGTTGCCGGCTGGTATATACATATGCAACCCTGCTGCACCACCGTCACTCACATGGCCTCCTCCATCTACCCATCTTCCAACATCTTGCCATCGATCAAACACCATCATCCCTCTGATCAACCCCCACAGCAACACATAGTAGCTGGCTAAGCCGTGTTGCCGCCTGGTAACAATCCAGATCCAGTCATGTCCCTGTCCGAGACCTGGTCGTTCCCTGCCTCGACAGCCATCACGTTCGACCCCGTTGCCTTTGCGGGGGCCGAAGAACAACAGCCCTGCCATCCGGCTTTTCCCTCTTTCGTGACGACGCCGTCGGCTCTGCCACCGCCGCCGCAGTCCATCCTCACGCCGCCCTCCAGCGCAAAGTCGCCCTCACCCAGTCCGCAGATGACGCGCAAGCGCAAGATGCCTCCCTCGGCCTCGTCCCTTCCTAACCCCAAAGACCTCAGCGAGGAGGACGACTGGACACGAGTCAAGGACCCCAAGGAGAAGAAGAGGATTCAGAACAGAGTCGCTCAGAGAACTTATCGTAAGTACCAGCTCACGTCAGTCGGGGCAATCACGGCATGCTGACTGAAGCGTCAAAGGGCATCGCATGAAAGCAAGGCTCGGCGAGCTTCAAGCGCGACTTGATACTCATGAGCGACTTCAACTTCAGCATTCTGCAACATGTGCCCATGGACCTCACGGTCAAAACATCGTCATGCCAGCATTCAATGGCGAAACTCCCATTTCAGGCAATCACTCACCAGCCGTTGGGCTTTGCGAGCCGGAACATTCACCATCCCCAGTCGCGGGGCACGCTGCAACGGCACAGATGCTTCCAATGCATCCAGGCATGTACCGCGAGCAGTCTTTCGACGACTCAGCAGATCCAGCAATGTACCCGCCAGGTACCCGCTTTCCCAACAGCCCCGGAGGTCCCCAACAATCACCGTCGCAGCACTCTCATGGCCTGCTATCCCCTCCCTCCCGTTACCAACAAGATGGCCGGCCAGTTGCCCTGCCCGAAGGCTTCGCTGGCGACTCCCTGAGGTTTCAGAGCCAGATGTTGAGTAATGGACTACATCCTGTCCAGCCTGACGCCTCGTATGGTTATCCCCCCGGTTACGTTACTCCTGGAACTCGCGGTATGCCACCAACACCCCCGTAACGAGAAGTTTGGCAGGACCTAATCTCTCAGACACAGATGGTACGAGCCAAGTCGAACAGACGCACGACATCAATGGCTTCGGCTCAGCACACGCCGGGAGCGTAGGCTTTGCCTACCATAACCCCATGCACGACACATGGAAGACGGAGGGTGTGCAGTCTGAGATGAAGGACGCCTCCCCTGTCACGGATCCAATGACCTATCCAAGTCTCACCGGCGCCCTGCCCCTGCCTCAAGTACCCGCGCTGGCCACAAACCCCGACGCGACTGGCACATTCCGCCCCGTTCCGCTACCGGTCAGTGAGAACGCCTCACTCGACGAACGGTTCTCTAGCATCATGAAACAAGTAGAGGCTGCCGGGTTCGAGAGCTTCGACGACCTCGTCACGGCCTACTACCGGGAGACATTCACCGCGACCTCGTCGCTGGCCAACGAGCAGCGTCTCAGCCGCAACAGGAGGCTGCCCAAGGTCATCTCGGATGTGTTCCAGGCGACCAGGGACTGGACGACCTGGGAGCGCTACGGCTTCCACGAGGAGATCCTCAAGACGGCAGAGGCAATGCTGGTTGAGGAGAGGGCTGGTGCAGGCGGCAGTCTGCTTGCGCATGTGATGCCGCTGATTGAGAGCGCGGATGGGACGGTGCCCGCGAGCGCGGGAGAGACGCTGCTGGGGCTGAAGAAGGTGATTCAACATGAGGTAAGAGAACTCCCCTCACTGATTCGACGTGCTCAGTCAAGCTGACCCTCAAGCACAGCTTCCCAACTCGTGGGCCTTGGCCATGTCCCTGACAGCCGACGGACGGTCGTCGTGGCAGCGGGATAGGTCCAGCACGGCGCTGGCGACGATCTTATTATTGCAGTTTTCTGGCCGCATTCCGAATGAGCAGTTACTGCAGCTCATCGGCTCATGCTTGTGAGGCCACACATACACTGGACCCAAGCTGCGCGTGTGTCCCACGACAGCCGGGTGGCGCTTCACCATCACCAACTGAGTTTAGGCCACTATAGTCCTTAATTGAATGGCAAGGGGCGCACTCAGCGAGCCTCCCACTCACACCTACCGTCGCGAACATGAGGCTAAATGTGTTTGACTGAGTTGTATCACCACCTTGACCTCCACGTATCCGCTGCAATGGTCGTTAAAGGACACAATGTGACTTGACGCTAAAGGCTGCAAAACAGGAGGGCCAACGCCTTCAATGCACCCTTGTAAAAATGGCGTACAGATCAGAACTGGAGTTTGGTCAGTCGCCGCCTCGAATGATTGGACAGGGACCAATCGTGGTTTATCTCGCGTCTCGTCTGCTGTGCTCTCACAGACAAAGCCTCAAGAGCAAGCCGTCTCATGAATCAGCCAAGAACTCGTAAACATCAATACGCGCAACTCGTATACAGTACTGCGCTGCTTCGTCAACGTCTCAAAGCTGGTGGCTTGCCGTCCGCCTTTTTTAACGGCGGTATTACTCAGGCACCGAGGCTCTGAGTAATAACATCACGGACAAGTGCCGTGAGGAGCGATTGTTCGCGAACACCATCTGTGAAATTGTTTGATCATCAATTGGCCAACTGGAACGAACAGCTACCAGGGAGCATATAGTGGTTGCCGTGAGAGTGAACAATCGACGCAAAATGGCGACGGTAATCTTAGGGTGAGCACGTCAGTGTCAGAAGATGGAATATGCAGGTCACGCATAATGACGCGTGCCAGGTACTGTAATCAATCGATAACCCCCACGGCGGGGCTTTGCTCGGCCGCCGTAGAGGGGCAACTGGCGATCAACTGCGCCATGAACGTGGCTGCAACCTAACTCTCCCTCACCCTCCATCCTCTCGTCGCGATTCAAGCCGGTCGGCGCGACTGAGCACTCGTCGCCGCGACCATGTTTCCCGGAGGCCCAAACCCGATACAAGTGCAATTCGTGCCGCCCTACAAGCAGGCAAACCCGCCGACCCCAATCGTCTTGATCCACGACGGTGGAGGCACCATCTTCAGCTACTTCATCCTCGGCAGCCTCAACCGCGATGTCTGGGCAATCTACAACCCCAAGTTCTTCGATGGCGAGGCCTGGGAGGGTGGCATGGACGAGATGGCGCGTCACTACATCGACCTGATTGTAGATGCTGGCATCAGTGGCACGATTCTGCTCGGAGGTACTGTGTCTGCTGGCATGTCGCGTCACCCATGCCAGGCCTGTAGCTGACCCCTCCTCTTAGGCTGGTCTCTTGGAGGCTTCCTGTCGCTGACGATGGCGCGCATTCTTGCCGAGGACCCGTCCAAGAACCTGTCCATCGCCGGCTTCCTCATCATCGACTCGCCGTACCACATCGCGCGGTCCAAGCTCACCATGAAGACGACGAAATCGAAACTCGACGGGATCCCTCCTCTGGTCCAAAAGTCCTTCGAAAACTGCGACATAATGCTGCGGCATTGGGATCTGCCATCTTGGGACGGCCCGTCTGGCGAGGGCAAGGAAACGACGTTGAGAGTCGCAGGCCGGGGCTTCACGCTTCAACCAGGAAGCATCCTCTACAAAGCGTTGGGGGATACTTGGAAACCCATTGACGTGCGGCAATACGAGCATGAAACAGCAGCAGACAAGCCAATCTCGCCGCCCCCAGGTGTCATGATTCGATGCACGCGCCACACGCAAAAGGCAGACGAATCCGAGCCCGGAGTAGCCCTTATCGACATTTTCCGTGACGATACGCTACTGGGATGGGAGGGCAAACATGCGGATTTCATCAAGGCCGTCATTGATGTCGATGCCGACCACTATAGGGTCTTTGACAAGGACGATCAGGCCAAGGTACAAATCGCTTGCCCCGGCCCCAGCCAGCTGAAACATACGATCGTCGACTGACATTTGCGCAGATGGAGAATCTGACCTTTCAGGTTAATTCTGGACTTGAGATCCTGGATAGCCTTGCTGGACCGTCGAAAAAGTGATTTCACCTTACGGCGGTTCCTGAGCTTCCCTCGCGAGTTTGAAGCAGCATGCCGGGCAATACCGCAGTGCTCTCCATGATTTATGACGCGATGAGCCTTTAGAATAGATGAGCAGCGGGCTCCTGTATATACACAGATTGCCCATGCGTCGGAAAGACCGATGATGGTTCATGATTCTTCCAGCTCGGTATATACATTCAACGGCTGGACTCTTTGCGTCCCTGGCCTAGCTGGTGACCCCAGCGACTTCTACATCCTCACGCGACGACTTCTTTCCCGACCTCCCCCAAAGCCTTGAACAATCCGTCCACGGTGCCGGCAAGCGTCTGGCAGTTGACAACGACTCTGAAGAAGTGACCCTTAGGCCCTGGCGCAAAGTCAAACATGAAGCCCCGCAGGAGCATCTTGTCCACCATCGCCCTTGTGCGCCTTGTGTTTTCTTCATTTGACTCTGATACCGTGCCCCCAGGAGCGTAGTAGAAGCACACCTGAAGGCACGACGGTGGGTCTGTTGATATGAGCTCGAAGTCGGGCGACGCGGCAACGAGTTCTGTGAGTCGGTACGCCATGTCGAATGCGTGGTCGACGCCCTTCTCAAAACCCAACGGCCCGTAGTACACCCACGCCAAGGCGAGTTTCAGGCTGTCCGCGCGCCTTCCGCACTGCAGCGTCAGGTCGGCAAGGTCCCAGACCTCATCGTTCTCCGGGTCGTGGAAGAGATAGCCCGCGCGCAGGGAGTTTGCGGCGTGAAACCGGCGCAGGTCGTTGGTCAGGAGGAACGAGCACGTCATCGGCACGTTGAGCATCTTTTGCGGGTTGATGGTGAGCGAGTCGGCCAGCTCGCAGCCGTCGAGCTTATGTCGGTGCTTGCGCGAGAAGCAGACGGAGCCGCCCCAGGAGCCGTCGACGTGCAGCCACATGCCAAACTCGTCGCATACGGCCCTGATGGCGCGCACCGGGTCGTACATGCCCATGACTGTGGTGCCAGCCGTCGCGTTGACGTACAAAGGAGTCATGCCCCGTGCCTGCGCTTCGATGACGAGGGAGCGCAGGGCCGATGGCATCATGCGCCCCAGCCCGTCGACCGGCACGCTCACGACACTCTCGGCGCCCATGCCGCATGTCACGGCTGCCTTTTCGACCGAGAAGTGCCCGTGAGCGCTGGTAAAGATGGCGAACCGATGTCTCCCAGAACCCTGCAGCTTCGTCTCTGGGTACAGCGCGCTGCGAGCGATTGCAAGAGACGTCAAGTTGGACGCGCTGCCTCCCTGGCATGTGACTCCTCCTGCATGTGGTCCGACAAAGCCAAAGTATGATGCCAGTGCCTTGGCCGTGCTCTTCTCTATGATGGTGAGGGCGGGCGAGACGTGATAGACGTGGACGTTGGTGTTGAGCACCCCCAGGAGAATCTCCGATACGACCCCGACGGGGTTCGTGCTGGCGGTCAACTTGTCCATGAAGCCCTGGTCCCAGGTGTTGACGCTGTACCGCAGCACATCCCGAACCATATCGACGAGTCCCGTCCTCCCCAGACCCTCCTCAGCCGGTAGCGAGAACCCGAGTCGTTGTGACAGCTCCTGCGGCGAATACGGTTCCACGAGGGTGGTGCGTGGCCGACCGCTTACATCGCGCTCAGGGAGGCCGGTCGCTTTGACGGAGGCCGCGTCATCTGCGGCCTTGATGTACGGAATGATGAGGGCTTTTACGGCATCGAAGAGATCTTCCATCTCCTCTGCGCGATGCAGAGAAGACTTGCCCTTTGGGTGGCCATTGCCGTTGGAAAAGCCGTGAAGTGCCTCGGCTTCATGCTCGTGATCAGAGGCAGGCATGGCAGTGGCGGGTTTCGGTGTGATGCAAGGCAATGAACTATTTGATGCGAAGCCCAACTTCAATACAGTTGCAGGCCTGTGCTATCTTCAAGCATCTACGTATCCGTTCACAAGCAGTTGGCTCGCTGGTATGGATGGCGAGCGAAGCCGTAAGCGGCTGGCACTACTGACCGAGGGTATTCTCTAAGGCTGGACAAGTGTCGCATTAGTCTTTCCGGTGTCGCTCCTTCCTCGGGGTTCTGGTCGGTATTAGTATGCGGTGGGCTAGGGACTCGGACCGCTGCAAGACCCCGATGGGTCATCTCAAGCACGGTTGGTTGTTCGGTCTCGTCCGACCGTTGACTGTGTAGTTCTTCATGTTTTGTGCCCTTTACATCGGACCCTCGCACCTTGACTCATTCCCTGAACTGAATTTTTGACTTCGAGATTTTGTTCATGGTTTCATCATAGAAACATTTACGCTTTCATCTTCACGTTCCGCGGCCTATCTGTCACATTTCAGTGATTGCGAAAGTTGAATGTCTAGCAATTAATTCGTCCACCGGCCATGAGCGCTGCATGTGATCGGAACATCCGCCACCAGATATGGTGGAGGCCAATTACTACGATAGTCTTAATGCTCGTTCCGGTCATCACGCTCCTTCTTGCAAAGACTTTGTAATTAGAAAAGAGTCTTCTTGTGCAGAAGAGTTCCGTCACGATGAGGTCTGGTGGTGGTTGGCATGTAGCAGTCAGGATGCGATTGGCGATAGCGTGAAACGCCAACGTCAATTGGAGAATACATTTCATCCGTAATTTTAGCAACGACTTTGTTTCCACGTGAGCTTTCGCTATGAGAATGTTGCCGGCCTTCAATCTGCCTCGTTCATGTTGCGTGCGTGACAGTCAGACAGGGAAAGTCCTGACTAAGATCTCAAAGGCGTGGTTTACATCGAGGTCAACCGCGCACTGCGGCGTACCCCGCTTGATGTACGCACCTCACCTTGCGACTGACCCGACGTCACTTACGGCCCTGGTGCTGTGAGAACTTCCTAATCGTCCACATACTTGCACCTGAAAGCGCTGTTCCCCCAGATCGGGTAACTCCAGGAAACATCTTTACTTCATACCACAGGAACACAATGCCGACGTCACGACCAATCACCTCTTTCAAGTGCCTCACCTTTGACTGCTACGGCACACTCGTCGACTGGGAGGGCGGCATCTACAAGTCCCTGTCGCCGCTCGTGCAGCAGCTGCCTGAATCCCATCCTCTGCGGAATGACCGCGCTGCCGTGCTCAAGGCCTTTGTGCGTAACGAGGGCATCGTCCAGCGCGAGCGCCCGGACGCACTGTACTCGTCTGTTCTAAGCGATGCATATGGCCGCTTAGCCGAGGAACTCGGCGTCAAGTCCAACAAGGAGAACCAGGACGCATTCGGCAATGGCGTGGGTGACTGGCCCGCGTACCCAGACAGCGTCGAGGCGCTGCAGCGCCTGAAGCGGCACTACAAGCTTGTCATCCTCTCCAACGTGGACCGCGAGTCGTTCTCGCGGACACTCAGCCAGCAGCTGGCCGGGGTGGACTTTGACGCTGTGTACACGGCGCAGGAGATTGGCTCGTACAAGCCTGATCTGCGCAACTTTGAGTACCTGATCAAGCATTGCGAGGAGGACCTGGGCGTCAAGAAGGAGGACATCATCCACACGGCGCAGGCGCTGCACCACGACCATGTGCCGGCCAAGCAGTCGGGGCTCGACAGCGCGTGGATCGACCGCGGCGTAGAGATCAAGAGCGTGATGGGAGGTGAGCTCAAGGACTACAAGGACAAGGTGGACTTTACGTGGCATTTCCGGAGCATGGGTGAGATGGCAGACGCGGTTCAAAAAGCTGCGACACAAGCTTAACCCAAAGTCTTGATTCTACGGCTCTTGGATCTGCTGGGAATATATCAAGGCTACTAATACCGAAATGGAAGTCTAAGTGGTTACTTAGACGGTGAGCCCTGAAGCCTTCTGGTGATGTTGATAAGCTCTTCAATGTTCACGGTGCAGCCTGCGGCATTGATCCCCAGGTACATGTACACGGACAGTCATGCGCTGTAGCGGTACCAGGAAAGTGTAACTCTCCGGAGAAAGAGAGTGTTAGTCTCTGGCCAAGCCCGTCACCGACAGGTTGTGGTAGCTCCATCAGCGAGTCGCTTAACGGCCCGATACACCAGCAAAGTAGCGACTTATGCTTGTGACTCAACGTCTGTCCTCAAATAATTGTTCACTCGAGCGTGCTCACAGCAAGTAACTCATCGCTCTCAAAACGTACGATAGGTGGGCCATCAGGCCATCATGGCTACCGAGGGTACTGAGGGGCCAAGACTGTGCGGTCTCAACCTCGGCCAAAGCCTTGCAAGCGGTATGAATTCTGATATGTTAGCCATAAACATGTTGAACTCGTGATCTGCCTCGCCATTCTTTCACGATTCTACGTTGTGCTTGCCTTGATGTGAGTTCGAAGGATGCAAATCCAGGAGGTTTTGACTTGACTTCAAACCCACAGCATGAAGCCGTATCAGTGTCTACAGGCTTGGCGCTGTCAGCTCACGCCGTCTCTCTCAGAGGGCCTCAGGCCATACAATGCCTCCTGCGCATAGCCTCTTACTTTTCCAGTAAACGGATCGTATGTTGCGGCATTATATCACGGTTCTGGCCCTGCTCGGACCGGGAGGGAACGCAATGCTTCATCCGAGGTCCACCAAGTTGTAAAGAGCCAGAGTTAACCGACATTCGGCGGTGAGCAATTGTTACCCAATTACACTTTCTGGGTACAGGTGCTCAAAGTTGTGGGGTGCTGACACTCCACGTTTCAGGCTTCAATCTCGGCCATAGATCCAAGGATCAGATAAGATAACTCTACGCCAAGCTGCGGTGCTACTTCGCTTCCAGTGCTTGACGTGTGTCATGTCCACCAGTCTCCACTGCAAACCTTGTTCCTATAATATGCCCTTCGTTTTCGGTCTTGGTGATGGGACAAATACCCGGAATAGGTGAGGGGCGGGTCGGCCGGGTCGCCATCAAATCACCACGGTGTCTCCAGTCCCGAAGGACCACACAGTCCCCATCTTGCCAGGCGATTGCACCCTCGTGCAGTGAAGGGATTGCTCTTTTCTCGCTTGCTACATAACATGAGAGTGAGCTTTGAACACTCCACAGCGAACAGTGTCAAACATGTATAAGTAGCTCTGAGCCCGGAGTCTCGGGACTAGATCAGAACATTGAAGCCCAAGCTCATCTCAATCCAGAGTCACTACTTCTCAGCTCCTCGACGCATATCAAAATGAAGATCTCGTACGCCACCGTCATCTCTGGCCTTGTTGGCCTGTCCGCAGCAGATTTAATGAGCCGATGCTGCTCCCTTCCGACTCAAAGTGGCCGCAAAGACGCCGTCGCATGGATTGCAGAGCTCGACAGCTTGCTCTCTACCAATCGTGGACATGTAGAGGGCTTACGCGGCAGGCTCCAGATCCTGGAGGAGTTCACGGCGTTGAACCAGGACCCTCACTGGCGAGCGGGTGAGGACGAGGATGAGAAGCGGCAGCGGGAGGCCAGCAACCATGTCAGCAGCGATGGCGGCAACGACATTAGCAACGACATCAGCAATGATATCAGCGACTATGTCAGCCACGATACTGGCAACTATTGGAAGGCACGAATGTCGCTTGTGGACAAGAGCGATGCCCCGGCAACTCGGAACCTCGTGGGCGACTCTTGGACGAAGGCAGGCACCAAAACAGAGACGCTGGCCACAATTGCATATGACGCGGGTATAATCGCATCGCAGATCGATGCGAACGAGGACGGGGCGCGTGAGTACCTCACTTGCGCTATGTCTCAAGACATGTGTGAGAATTAGGCTTCGACTGGACGCGACGCTGAGCCCTTGGGCTTGGCACGAGTATTGAGGTCCTTGGGCTGGAATTTTCTCGACGCTGTGATGGAAATCTGATGGAGCTTCTGGTAGAATATGTTGTGGATGAGAAAAATGAGGTGAAGTGGTTTGACGATGCTGCTCAACTGATGAGACTGTCGCATAGGCGGGTCGAAACGCGCAGACTGGCGTCGCTCTTCCATACGTCTAAGTTCATATTGCCACTGTGGGTTTCGTATGCAACCGAGCAGTGGAGTTTTCGGTAGCGTTGTGAAGCCGTGCGCTCAAGAGTCAGACATACATGTGTGTGGTCGGTCAGTCGATGTATGGGTGCGTGTACCTCGGCGTGGTGGAGATGTGGGGATTCGTGAATCAGTTAGATCTTGTTTGCCCATTCACCAACCATGAGCATTCGACACTCGGCATTCAGGGTTAGGAAGCCATCTCAAAAGCATCAGCAAGACCCCGGAAGCATCATCAAAATGGTCGTAGCTAGTCTTGATTGACGTGTCGTCAAGCGGAGGGTCACTTGAAGCATGCCAAACGATCCGGTCCTTCGGTCGTCCTTCATATATCATGGATAGTACAAACTTTAACTTGCCGGCAATGTGAATCCTAGTTTCCGAACTCGGAGGAATGGCGACAGCATTTTAACAGCGACTCAGAGTATGTACACTCGCCAATCGCCAATGATACCACCTAGGCGCTGGCTGACCGCTGCAGTGTCTATAAACTACATACGCACGTTGTTGCAAGCTCAAGGGCTGTAGCAAGAAGTGGGCATAGCCTGCGTACAAGGTTCATGTATGCCGTCACGACCCCCGACTCTAGGGGTCATACATCCCCTAGACGGACCAAATATATATATATATATATAAGGGGCACAGCCCCCAACAGAGAGAGAGAGAAAAACAAGGCTCCTTCACATGCGGATACAGCACTTTGAAACATACGTCAACGAGCAGCAACGCCGGGAGCTCAAGCTGCATGTGCCGTCCGGCCCGAACAACCACGAGCGAAGCCGCCGTCTGCCTTGGGGTCGCGTTCAAAGTTGGAGAAATCGGACAAAAAGCCTGAGAGAAGCGACAGTGAGGGCAGCCAAGCCGACAGCACTTCAGACGAACAAGCAGCGCCCGCCTTCATTCCGGATCAACGTCTCTTCTGCGCCGAGACAACGGGAACCCTTGACAATAATATTGCACACATGGCGTCGGCTCATAGCTTCATTGACCCGTATCAAGATTGCTTGACGGCTGATCTGGAGACTCATGTCTGGTATCTTCATTTTGTCATCTACAGATATGGGGAGTGTATAATCTGCGCTCTCCGTCGAAGCACGATTGAAGGCATTCAACAACCCATGGCTGCCGAGGGTCACTGCCGATTTGGAGTTTCAGCAGACTTTGAGGACTTCTATGGATTCCATAGCACGGGATTTGATACCTCTGGAATCGCAAGACCCGACGAAGGGTCACTGCGGCTGCCGTCGGGCGAGGTACTCGCTGATAGAACTCAAGCGACCGGCCCCAGGCCGACAAATGCTACTCGCCACTCGACCGCTCAACCTGCAAGCACCTCATCTTTGCCTTCGGTAGCGCCAATTTCAAGCGTGGATGCCACCACTGGGGACGACAGGGACGCGATCCTGCTGGCGTCACAGCTCGCGCGGCTCGGTCTGAGGGATCAACAAAGCCTGGAGCATCTGCCTGGCCATGAGGTCCGGTCGTTACTCGCCACTAGAAAGAAGCAGCTGGACAGATCGAGAAGAGAAAAGACGCGCGCCGAGATCAAATTAGAGAGATCCGGGAACCAGACCCTGATGAAGCACTACATCCCTAACGTACCCAAAAGGTTGAGGGGCAGCTGGCGTTGAGCCACTAGACTGCACCGCACTTGGGACTTGTAGGCATTGAACACGTGAAGGAGTCAATCAGCTTCGCAAAATATGCGAGTCTCTCATAAGTGCTACAAAAGGTACCTTGAATAACGATGTGTACTACGTGACGAGCAATGAATAACACTTCCAATGAGCACGCAGCTTAGCGATTGCCTCTACGTTCACAATCATGCGAGCGTTTCGACGTCAATGTATAGAGACAATTTGTGTCGATTTATCATCAAAGAGATATTTCTCCATTCTTTAAAGCTAGCGTACCATCGCAAATGCAACGCTTTTGTGACACACAGTGTCTGACTGGGTTGCTTACTGGTGAAGTCGCACTAACCGCCACGTCGTGCAGGTGCGGCGTGTAAGTCGAGTCTGGGCAGCAGTACCTGCGAGAGTCTGACATCAGCTATACATCCACGCCAGACAAGCAAGGCTCCGAAAGGATTCGCCGGCGCCCTGGCTACCAAGGGCTTGGAGCCAATGTGACGAGCAAACTGTCCGAGCACGAGCACGCAGGAGCTTGCCTGCCGCGAGAGTGGACCTCGATTGCGACGTCAACAATAGCCAGCCTGTCGATCCATCACTTGCTCCTTATAAGTCGAGATGGCTGCGTCCAGATTAGCCGTATCGAAAGATAATCAGGCCAACTCGGCGTCTTGGTTGCAGCAGAGTCGTTCATCACTTTCCGCAGTTTCTTTCCCTTTCTTCCACACCAAGACAAAGAAAAAAAGAGGGCTACCCTGAGCCGCGAAAACTCTTCTATCCTGATCCAACAGAGGGCTATCCTGAGCCACTCTTAACAAATCCTGATAGAGGGCTATCCTGAGCCTCTCCTGACTTTTCCGCGTTGAGGGCTGCCCTGAGCCAGTCCCAACATCTCCCCCAGATTTTGAGAGGCTACCCTGAGCCACACACTCTCAGCCTGTCTCATAGTTGACTTGCAAAAATTAACTATCGCAAAAATGAATCTCACACCAGCGAAACGAGCAGTTCGTGCTTCCACGTCTTTGCTTCGTACCAGCAGGGCCGCCGGCGGCATGCTCCATGCGTCCGCCCGGCGCCCGTTCCATAACTCTGCTGAGGCAAAGGCCGTCGAAGCCGTGGACTCTAGGATTCCTCTCGACCAGGGGATGCCGCCATTCCCTTCGGCGCTCGCGGCCGTCGAGTCGACCAAGAAGAAGCAGCTTCCCATCCGACCGGCCCCCGGAACCAGTCAGCTAGATGTTCTGGAGCAGGCCTACAAACCCGAGTTCTACGAGACCATTGCCAAGATCATGGCTCTGAGGCAAAAGTATGTCGAGGAACGTGTCATCTTTGTTGAGAGCAGAGAGATGCAGTCTTTGCTGCTTGGCCTCGGAGCCAGGCCAGAGGACTTTCCCAGGATGCAGGTCGTAAGCAACCGCTTGTACCACGACCCAACACTTCCCTTCCGCCGGAGCCGGAACGGCCGCTTCCTGATCGACTTCGACTCTAGCTCTCTCCGGCGCCTGGAGTTCCAGCCCTTTACGCTCACTGCCGAGGAGGACTTCAAGCGTTACGACTCGGGACAGATTCGACGCTTCGATGAAGTACAAAACGAGCTGCAGCTCAACTCGGTGTTCCAAGCCCTGTTCGCCTTCAAGGCCATGATCCTGCACGGGGTGCCGACTATCCATCGCCCCAAGCTCAACTACGGAGCAAACAAGTGGGTGTGCACCCTTTTCAACCTGCGCACCGTCACGACTCCGGATCTCCTGGGTGAGCCGGCCCTGGAGGGCGTCCACTCCGACGGCGTCGACCACACCATGACGACGTACCTGGGGAGCAACAACATGGCGCCGAACAGCGCGGCAACCTTCATGCACGACATGGACGAGACCACGGGCGTGCAACTCGACGACGTGTCGCCGCACCACATCCTCGCGCGGGTGCAGCACAAGAACTTCCTCGACACCCTCATGATTGTCGACCACGAGCGCAAGCACAGCCTGTCGCCCGTACACGCCATCGACGAGAACAAGGAAGCGACGCGCGACATGCTGATTTTCTTCACGCGGAAACCCGTGGACAAGACGCACGTCTCCGGGTCCATCGATTCGCTGCGCCCGCATCGAGACATGCCCATGGAAATCCCTCTCTTTGTCCCGGGTTCTCGTTAAAACAATGAGACTTGCACTCTAACAAGCTCGGCTTCTTTCTGCTAGGTGCATTCGAGGTACAATGTAACACGGCATCTAAATCATATGGTGGATCTAGCATTCATTGAGAGACACATGCATCCAGGCATGAAGAGGACTTCAACCAATCTTCCATGTCAACATGAACATACACAGGCGCAGACGCTGGGTGGCTATCTCTGTGTCTAGCACACGATTTCTCATGTCAAAAAGTCTATTGAGCCCAGCTTCTTTGGGCGGACACACTTGTTTCTAGGACTGATCAATTGGAAGTTGTCGTTGAACACACAAGCTTATCCTCGCCGATTCCTCGGCCGCACCTTGGCCAAGCATTCCCGGTACACATCCCAGCCGTCACTCGAACATCAAAGATCTGGTCCAAGGCGCTATCATGGGCCTGGATGCATCAGCGTCTGCTACTTACAATCTCGCCAAGGTAGTTTCACGACCCAGCGTACTCTGTACCATCGGGTCCCTTGCCGATGTGCTCTCCTGGCGTTGCTGACGACTGTAGATCACACGACGAGATACTATTAGCATGGATCAACGTATACTAGCAAGCACTAGACTGAGTCGCGACGCCATCTGACGATGCTAGCAAGCTTCCAGAAGGCACTTGACGGTAATAGCAAGACTCGACACTTTTCGCCAACAGAGAACATCAGTGGATGTGAGAGTACGCAATGCAGTACTCGTTCGACAAACACAACACTTGAAGACATTAAATTATATCTAGATCAGTCTTCGCTTGTCTGGCGAATTTATGACCAGGGTCGTTGTGGTTATAACAGGCCATATAGAGTAGTAAACTACTAGGTACTTCGGTAGAGCATGTGTGTAGTGTGCCCATACACGCCCGGCACCATGACTGTCCGCGCGCCAGCTTATACATCTGACTTTAATAAAATTTGAACGCTCATGTATTGATGCGTGGCCGCAAATTTGTATCCCAAGGTGTCACCATGGGTATAACCATGTACGCGTGCAGCATGGAATTCTCAACACCACGCATGCAACATTCACTGCAAGGCAGGAGTTGCCCAGGGTCCCAGCAATTTTACCAGAGGGAAACCGTGAGACGCGCAGGATCAGTGCCAGGCTGCAACGTTGGCACCAGTTCTGAAGAAGATACTCCTCAACTGCATGTGCGGCTCACGCAATGAACCTGCGCTGCCAAGCCATTTGGGTCAAGCAGGGGCCAGGTACAGATCATGGGCGATGCTACGTGCTGGATACGAAGACGTACATGTAACCTGCCATTTGGGAACGCGATCAAATGCTGGCATTGCACCGCTTTGCAGGACGGCACCGCCACGAGTCTCACATTCACGACCCCAACCCAGTGCCTGTTGAACGACAACAGACATCCCCTTCTCCCAACACCACGTAGAGAACATGTTCCAGTCCGCCCCCGCTGCCATCAGCCACCACCCGCCCAGCCCTACCGTAAGGCAAGGAGGGAAGTTGCAAATGCCGACCGAGGCGCGCGTCCAACGAACCAGACCGCCGAGCAACCAACGCGCGGCACCGCACGTGGCCAGCGCCTCCGGCGGCTCTCGCCCTCTGCAGATGCGTTCGTGGCATCCCAAAGCTCCATGTTCCCCAGCCGTGACAACCCGCCTTTTGCCTCCCCAAAGGCTGACGCCATCTTGCCCGTTGCGCGCGGCATATAGCAGCCTAGCTTAGCTTTTGCCATTGCTGCAAGCCCGCAAGCCACCGCCCGCGAAGCTGAACCTCACACCGCTCGCGGGGTTAAGAGAGCAACGCTGAGTCTGGACTCTGGGTTGGGGGCTTCCTGTTCGGATGGGTGCCCACGATGTCTTATCAATTGGACGATGACCTCCCCCGCGGCAACCCTCCATGTTACCTACCTCTCGCCTAGCTGAGGACAATCGAGCCTTTTCTCTTCTCACGAGGGTGGCGCCTGGCGGCTCGTGACACACGCGCGCCGCACCGCACCACAGCCGAGATTGACACTCTGTCAAGTTTTATTGAGAGGAAACACAACCCGAGGAGAATCTCTTCAGCAATGCCAGAAGCGTAATGAAACCCCCGTCGGAGACGTTTTGCCCATAAATAAAGTCGAAACGAAAATAGCTGTCACGCGCGCGGCCATGAACCGATACGTCCTGCTCCAGCCCCGGCCCGCGGCGTGCCCCTGCGGTGCATGCCCCTCTCCTCTACCGGCGTACGCAGCTACGGATCCGAACCCGGCGCCGACATATCTGCAGGCGACACAGCCGTCCCTGTCCCTGTCCCCGTCGCCGGAGCTGCGCGGCCATGAGAGAGATGATCGGCGGCGGCGGCCGAACCGTCGTCTCGCCAGGTGGTGGAAGCGGGTGGCGGGCGCAATGACCTTTGATGAGGAACACCAGGCGCAACCGCAACGAAGGTAAACCCCTACAGAAAGCTCGCGAGGATATTTCCAGGGCGAGCAAAAGGCTTTCTATGCAGAGAAGCTGACTCGTACGCAAAACGCAAAGTTACTCTTACGGACCATACGAGACCATGTTCCTGCCGCCGGGGACGTACGTTGCCCTGGGTCCAAAGGCATGCCCGGTCATGCGCGTTTCAACAACTCAGCGGAGTGCGTGGCCCATTATACGATTCATCGCGCGGGCAGCTGCTTATCCTTTCTTCTACCACTAGGTCCAGACACGTGTTTCGGGTCGTGCTGCAGAGGTTAGAAATGCGTACTACGTCAGTGAACAAGGGGCTGGTCCACTTGTCCATGCGTCGGGTTCGAGAACTTGCTCTGTAGTTACACTTACACCAGGCAAAGAACCGCCGAGCAAGCAAATGTCATCAAAAGCCAAACTCGCAGTCTGTCTACCTGTATACTACGTGGCGCGTATTCGAGGCTTTCGCTGCAGTGACACCTCACCAGTCCAAGAACTGTCGAGCGAGCAAGGTTCATCAGGGGCCAGACTCGCGGTCTTGCGGCTTGTTACAGTATGTGGTGCCCGCGCCACGCTGGCTCATGTTGTTCGCCCATGTGTTCCCGCCGTCTGCTGCCCCTGCTCACACATCGACCTTGATGTCGTCGAGCCCAGCCTGGATAACATCCCCCGCCAGCTCAATCTCATACTGGATATCCGGCTGGGCCTCCTCGTAGAGCCAGTTCTTCTCGCCCGCCATCTTGTAGTTGGCCATGGCCAGCTCGTGCGGGATGATGTTCTTCTTGAGGGCCGGGTTCCCCGCGCAGGCGGCCTCGACGCGCAGCTGGATCTCGCAGCTGCGGTCCACGAGGCCAAACAGGAAGCTCGCCTCGTCGACCGTGTGCCCGACGCTGATGAGCCCGTGGTTGAGCAGGATGGCCGCCTTGCCGCGCGGGCCCAGCGCGCGCGCAATCTGCCGCCCCTCCTGCTCCGCCGTCACGATACCCCCGTACTCGTCGTCCACGGCCAGCACCCCGTACAGGTCGCATATGTCCTGCGTGATCATGTCCAGCGGCTTGCCGAAGGCGGCCCACGCGCGGCCCGCGATGGTGTGCGCGTGGCAGATGGCGTGGATGTCGTGCCGCGCCTTGTGCACCTCGGAGTGGATGTAGTAGCCCGGATTGTTGGCGGGCCGAGTCTACGACTTTCTGTTAGCAAAAAGGGGTCGTTTCTCTGGCGGCACGCAAGGAGAATGGGGGGAGCGTAGAGTTCGACTCACCCTGTTGCCGCCGACGACCTCGCCGTCGCTGATGCGCAGGCACAGCATGTCGCTGCCGTTCATGAGGGCAAAGTGCTTCCCGATGGGGTTCATCCAGATGAGGTCCGGGAACTCGGGGTCGCGGACGCTGATATGGCCCGAGATGCCCTCGGTGTAGCCGTTACGCGCCCAGTTGCGGAAGACGGCCGCCATGTGCACGACGATGTGCCTGCGGTGCTCCTGGAAGGACGGGAACGTGGGGATTCCTATATGCTTCGGGTTCAGCAAACTGACTTTATGGAGAGACGACATGAGCTGGCAATAAGGGGAGACAACAGCAGCAGGGTATCTCTCAACGCTTTAGCAACAACTACTCACCCGTGAGGGGATTCGGCCCCCGGCTGAGACTCGCCAACTGGCACTCCATCTCCCCCTCATCCTCACGCTGCGTCGCGTCCATCCTAACAACCTCTTCCCTCAGGCCCTCTTTGTACGTCGCAGTGCCAGTCGTAGTGGCGGTCGCGGTCGGCGGAGCCATCGTTGCGCATCAAACACTGTACAGTGTAGACGCTGTTCTCTTTCTCTTGGTGACGGGCGACTCTTTGTCTGAGCAAGCGATTGGAATGTTAATCTGGAACGCCTCGAGACTGAAGATTGATAAAAGAGGCAGGCAACCCCCGCGCTGCGTGCAGGTAGGTCAATCGCCAACCCGCCCGCCGCCCAGGGGTGGCGACCGGCGCAACTCCGCGATGCGCCAGTGGGCCGTTGCCGGTGCGGGGAGGATCCTCCAGCGACAGCTCCAGCTCCGGGCGCCGTTCGCCTGCTGGAGGGCGTCTCTGAACTGACGTAAGACTATCAGTCAGCCGCCTCCCATCTGCTCGCAGAAGGCGTTTACTGTTACAGCAGCGCCCTCTGGAGGAGCATACTATCGCTGCTGGTTTGCACGCTCCGACGTCACCCAGCTGTCGCAGGGTCTCTGTCGCCAGCGCGCCTTTCGACGATCCCTCGTCCTTGCTGCCGGGTCACCAACGCAAGTTCACACGGCACGAGGTCTCTTCTTTTCAGGGGCGCGGGGTCTGCATCTCGCGGCGTCCATTGATTGTAGTCTATGGGATGATAGCAAAGGTACACAGGGCAACCGTACATACAACCTCGCATGCAGGCTGCAAGACACCCGCGTTCTGCATCAACCCAGCCCGGCGCACCTTGCGCCTACACGCCGCCTGAGCCCATCCTCCCCGTCTGACCCTTCCACCGTCGTAGTCCGGCCGCCACAGCCGATCCAAGGCGTGGCAGGGCCTGAGCCTTGGATCGGCGGGCGGGCCGAGCTCCCTTGTCGCCTCATCTTTTCAATCCAAAACATTAATAGAAACAAAAGGCACGGGTCACCGGGATGAGGGCCAGAAGAATAATTCACGATTGTCGCGGCCCGCATCCCTCGAGGTGGTGCCCGGCATGGGTAGAAGGGCGCTGCCGTTTGACGCACGAGGCGTGCTGCGACAAGACTTGAAGGGCTGGCCAGGGGCGTGCCCGACGCACAGTCCCGAGCTGGTATCCAACGGGCTAAAAATGGGGAGAGTCTCGCGCGACCGCGTCCGTTGTCCAAAACTGGGCACGCCGCGGCGCTTGCCCCTCAAGTCAATCATGAAACGGTTCCTCCGAAGGGTATCGAAAGTCGTCAAGAAATATAAGACAAAATGGCTCAGATGTGGTAGATGTTCGAAAAAAGGAAGAGGACTGGGCTGACGCTCCACGTCATCAGTTCCAGCCGAGCGAGTTCTCGGCCGCCACGGGGGCTGAGATGTTGGCTGTCCGGCCCGAGTTGCCAGCGCCGCTACGCCCGCTGCCGTGGCTGTTGTGGCTGTTGCGGCCACCGGCGCCGCCATAGTTGGAGAAGTCTCTGCTGAGCAGAGCGCCGCCCATCAGCGCGGGGCTGCCGGCGCCCGTGTACCGCATCTCGGCCGAGTCCTGGCTGTTGGCGACGGAGCTGGCACGGCGGTGGCCCTGACGCTTGCGCTTGTACCGGCGTGCGACGATGAACATGGCGGCACCGTACATGACGCTGCAGGCAACGGCGCCCATGGCGATACCAGCAGTCGTAGCCTTCTGCTTGGACGACTGGTCGCTGTTGTTGTTGTTGTTGTCAAAGGCGTCGTTGTTGTTCTTGTTGCCGCCGCCAGCGCCGCCAGTGGGCACCGGGCCGCCGTCTTCGCCAGGAGCACGGAAGTTGCCGTAAATGTCAATCCGGTTGTCGATGAGGGCCGTAAGGTTACGGACGGTCGCGTCCTCATTGAGGTAAAGTTTCGAGTTGGGGGCCAGGATCTGCATTTGGAGCGAGTCGAGAAGAGTCTCCGGGTAGTTGATCTTCGCAATGGTGGTGATGTAGTTCAGCTGCTTCCTCGTGTCCATCGGCACGAGCTTGGATACCTGGACCCGATCAACGGTGAAACCGCCGGCGTCAGCCAGGGCTTTGGGAAGGTAGGCAAAGATCTGGGCCGCGGCCAAAGTGTTGCTGGCGACGAATTCATAGTTGAGGGCATGAAGGAAGCCGATCTGGATCTCCCTCGTGCCTGCAGGCGCCACCTTGTTGCCGTCATTCGGGTGAATGATGGCCGGGATGCCGGTGGGAAGAGCCGTGGAGCTGCTTCCAGTGACCGTCTCGGTTGGCGTAGAGAAGGACACGGTCGTAGGCTCCGCAACGAGCGACGTTGGCAGCCAGTTGTCCGTGTTGGTGAGGGTCGCTGTAGGGCGAATACTGGTGACGCCCTCCACCGTGGTCGACGGAATTGCGGTAGGCGTCGTCGGGATGCTGGTCGAGGTCACTACGGGGGAAGACGGCGCAGATGTCGGGACAGCCACAGTCGAATTGTGGATGGCGGTCGACGTCACCGAAGCCGAGACAGTTTGCGAGTCAGTCGGGACCGAGGTCGGGACATCAGTGCTAGTACCGTTCGTGACGGGGATGGTGGTTGGCAGGCTGGTCGCGGTTCCAGTCGCGGAAGGGGTGACTGTGCCCGTCGTCGAGTTGCCAATGGGAATATCACCCGTAGTAGTCGAGCTCACGGTGGGCAGGCTGCTCGTGATGGATGTCGGAACGCTGGTGACAGTGGGGACGTCGGTGGACGTGGTGTTGCCGATAGGCTCGGTCACGCTGGGGGTCGAGGACGGAGTCGTCGTCGAGTCGGTGCCAATAATCGATGTCAACGTCGGGAGAATAATGATCGGTGTCTCGGTCGTCGACGTTTCGGTGCCCGAGGGGACCAGCGTGGACGTCTCCGTGGGCACGACGGTCGTGTTGGCGGGGGTCGGGTTCAGCACGGAGCTAATCAAGGTCTCGATGGGTTTGAGGATGCCACCATCGGTCGAAGTTGTCGTCACGGCCTCCGACCCAGTCGAGGTACTGTTGGCGAGAGGCGTCGTCTCGACGGTGCTCTTCTCGAAAGTGCCCGAGGACGTGTCCTTGGTGCTTGAGACGATGCCTGTGGGCGCAATGATGATGGGCGTATCGGTGTCCGAGGACTCGGTGGACGACCTCGTCGAGGATTTCGTCGTCGGAGCCTTCGTTGTCGTCGTCGAGGCCCTGGTCGTAGGCAGGAGCGTGGGGCTGGAGGTCCCGCCTGTTCCCAGCGGCGGAGGAGGTACAATGACGGTGCTCTCGACGATGACCGTCTTTATTTTGGTATCGCCAGATGAGGTATCTCCGCCGCCAAAAATACCCGAGATGATGTCGCCAAAAGTGTCCCTCCTCGACGACGACTCGCCCGTCGTCGTCGTGGGGGGAGTGCTCGGCGTGGAGATGGGGCTCGTCTCAGTGACTGTCGAGTTAACGAACTCCCGCTTGATCTGACGAGGGTAGTAGATGCGAGGGCGGTCGGCCTGCTCGGCGACGGCAGATACCGAGGCAGCAAACGCCAAGGCCGTGGCCGCGTAAATCGAGGTCGTGCGCATCTTGTCAAGCGTTGGCTGCAAGTGATGACGATTTGGCTTTGATGTAGGCGGTGCAAATGATGGTGACGGCAGTGCCAGATGCCGTAGTATGCTGCTGCAGGGTCAGTAATGCTGTGATTGCTTCGAAGGCTCTGGTAGGCTCACTGTCAGGAACGGATATAGCGAATGTACTTGACGTATATGTCAACGAGCGTTGTCTGGCAATACTTGATCAGTCCCAGTTCCTCATCCGCGATACGTTTGACGCTGCCTCGAAGCGGATCACGATGGGTCATTCGACGCGACGACATCAGTGTCGCCGCTGAGGCTTCAGGTACGTCAACCGACACCAGTACCTGTCGCCATTCATCGGACCGTCGAGGCCAGTGCGTGCAGATCGAGCCGACCGTGACTCACATGTATTTGCGTACCGGCACGATAAATCTATGTTCGGTAACGAAGAGAAGAACGGGTGGAAAAAATGAGCGACTTGACGAATATTCGTCAACAGAGTTGTAGCAAGGGACACGTCGTTGTCGTCGTCGTCGGGGCCGGTCCGTCAAGGGGCGTCAGTTGGGATCCCGGCGTCGCGAGGCTCGTCGAAGACAGCGGTCAGTCGTCAACGGAGCATTTGTCGCGAGAACCTCCAGAGGGGGTTCTAGGGCCGTGCGGACATGAACGGGAGACTCGGCGAGCGTAAGAGTCAATCCGTTCGCCTCCCGAGCAAGCTTGTCGTGGTCGGCGGGATGGAGGAGAGGTTCGCGAAGGGGGGGCGGAGAGGATAGGAGGAGGTCGTTGAGGTGAGGAGGTGAAGAGAGCGCGAATAAAGGAATGGGACGGGACGCAAACGAAGGAATGAGAGGCGACGGGAATGGAAACACGACAGCGACAGGGGCCTGGGTGGGAGGAGCGCAGGTTGATGAAGGCCAGGGAGGCAAGGAGGAGGGCGGGCCTCCCAACCCTCCTCTCGCTCTCACGCACCCGCAGCCGGCGCGCGTATGTGGGCGGGCATGGCGGGCACAGGCGCCTCAGTCAGGGCAGCTCAGGTGGCAGGGCAGGAGACACGGAGAGGTCTTGGGGGGACAGTGCAACAGGCCCAACTGGTGCCACCGCAGCTAGGCGGGATGGAGGAGGGAGCAGCAGCGCTAGCACCGCCCTGTGCCGCATCGGTGGGTGGTGCCCCCCCCAGGTGGTGGTGGTGGGCTTGTGGGTGAGCCCACCACCCACAACCCACCACCGCTCAGGTACGAAGCCTGCCATGCCCGCCTGGGTGGACTGGCTTGACTGGCTCGCTTGGTCCCTTGCCAGCGCGGCGTGGACGGACGGACGGCCAGCCATGCCCAGCAGCCCAGGCGACGGGTCGAAGGGGGACCATGTGGATGATATGGGTCTACGGACAGGATGGCCAGGGGCTACATAGGGGCAAGGCACGAGGCGGCGGGGAGTCGTGTACCAGCACCGGTACGGCCAGGTCTCTGCCTATTGCGACGGGCGCCATGAGGTGACTTCCAAGTTTCCGCGCACACGGGCAGGCTCCTGGGCTCGGTGGTGCGTGCTCCCCTGCACCTCACCTCACCTCACGCCAGTGCGTGCTGGCGCGGCGGCTGGCAAGCAGCCAACGGCCGCCTGCAGCTGGGCTGGGCTGGGCTGGGCAACGTGCCGACGCCGCGTGGGCCGCCCGGACGCCCGCTCGAGGGAGACGATGGATGGCCGACGGGGGGTCTCTTGGTCCCCTCCGGGTGCATTGATGGGGCGAGAGATGTATCCAGATGGTGTGGACTGTGGGCAGTGGACACCTCGTCGGAAATTGCGCTGATGACGAACTCCTGGGGGCATCTTAAACGGGGTTGGGAGGCACAGGCTGGGCCTGTCTGGCGTTGGCTGGCCCTGACTGGGTGGGCAGGGTGCCGTGTCATGTCTGGGTACAAGTTATCGCCGCGCTGGTTGGGTGCGTTCCGGGGTCCACATCCTGTCCAAGGTTCACAGGGGAGGAAGCACGCGCGCCCAGGGAGCCCCAGGCTTTTGCCAGGAGTGCTGCATGCTGGCAACTGCCCAGTGGGGCCAAGTGGGCGGTGGCAGACCCCTGGTGCCAGGTTTGCCAGGGAACCTCCCAGGGGGGGTGGTGACCTGAGCGACATTAGGGTTTGACCTGTCCGCCCGGCGTCGTCACACGTCCGAATCAAGTACCTGGCAAGCACAGCTCTCGTCGCAGCCTGTGCGTGGTGGAGGACGCGGCGCCCCTAGCGCAACGGGCCAGGGGCAGTCCCGCCATGATTGGCCGTTTCCGCCGCCGTGAGCTCCGCCGCGAGCTCCACGATCCAGGAACAAGGCTTGCCAGGACGCAGTCGCGCCCACTTGACCGCCTCCTGCACGACTTTTTCGCCGACTGTGTCTGTCGAGAGACAGCCAGTTTCACAGTGCGACAGAGGCGCCGAGAATTTTCCATCCGTCCTGGTGGTGGTGAAGAATCCGGATGTTTCTCGCTTGAGTGTTTGCCCGCCGTCCGATCTTGTGCGTTTCTGCTCCGTTGATGTGCGAATAGCTCGTTGCACGATTGCTCGCTCGGCCGTGTGCGTCCTATCCTGTCCCAGGTTGGGCGGCCCCCCCGTCCCGTCATCACGGCCTCTTCCCCTTACCCTCACCCGCGCCGCCCGTACGCCCGGCCCCTGGCCGCCGTCGACGGCAGTGAGGTTGCAAAACCCCGTTGCGCTGCCTCCCTTGAATGGTGCCTTGCCTTGCATCGCCTTGCCTCGCGCTGCCCTGTTGGGTTGAACCCGACCGAACCCCCAAGAGCCGAAGCAATCACTCGCAGCGGCCTGCGTCACCAACGCATCTCGATCCCGCCGACTGCAGCATCATCACAGACATCTGGACCGGCCCTTGGGGCTCGAGCGCATTGGCTTGTGGCCACCGTAACGGGCCAGCAGGCGAGGGAGGGGGGGGGGCTTCCAAGCAGACGCACACGCTGCATCCGTGCCCCAGCACCTCACTTCCATCGTCGGCGTGGCACAACACGCTGGGCGCTCGTCTGTATGCAAAGCACTCCCTCCCGCGGGCGCGAGCCGGCCCAGGATGGAATCACCGGGCCACGCCGCAAGCTCATGTCTGGACCCAGCCCGGCCCAGCCCAGCCCAGCTTCCCGCCGGCTTCCTTGCCCCTTCGGCCGTGGTGATCTCTCCGTCTCCCGCAAGGGCCTTGACCCCCGGCCTTGCTCGAGCTTGGCGCCAATGAGCTTCAGCCGCGCCTGGCCTAGCTCACCACAGACGCTTCCCTCGGTACGAAGTGTTTAATCACAGGCTCGAGGCGCGGACCCGCGCCAGGCTACTCACGGCCGGGCGCCATCGCCAATACTTCAGGTGTGTGCCTCCAGTGCCTCAGGTCGGCCGCAGCCTCACCGTCTGTCACGGTGGCTCAGGGGAGGGAAGCGGGAAGACAACAGACGGGCCTGACGCCGGCTGCTCATGCCGTCCTCTTGTTACCTGTTTGTTCCTGTGACCGGTGGGATGACAGCACGGCTACGTGCGTTGACGGGTGTCAATCTGTGCCACCATGACTTGGCAAGTGAGCGTCCATCCTGAGCAAGCCGTTCGTTCCCATTCCTTTTGCCGAGTGCTCTCCACGTGAATCTGGCGCAAGCGGCAGTCCCGACGAAACCCACGCAGGCAGACTGCCAAGACTGCTCCCTTTCTACACGGGCTTTGACGCGCGACTCGCCCATTCCAAGAGACCCTGTCCGCCCATGTCTTACCTCCTCCCAATGTCTCTGAGGATGCCTGTCCGGATCAGCATGGCATCACTTCTGGCTCAATTGGCATCAATGAGAAGAATGGTCCCCAAAAATAACTCGTTCGCCGTGACGCCCTGACAAAAAAGCAATCCCACGTCCCGGACGTTGGTGACGATGTCCGGTTCCTGCATTAGCACGGCCGCTCACGAACATGGCCGTGACGCTCGAGTGCGGCGAGGGCATCCACACACAAGCCTTCAGCCGTCGCATGGCAGGCAAATCTCGCTTCCGCACCCGTGAAATGAATTGGCTTTCGGAGCCCGGCGCACCTCGCAACGGCCCCAAGAACGGTCGCATTGTCTTCCGTAATAGCGCGCCAGGATGCGACTCGCTCACCGCGACCGGCTTAGCAGATGCACCTCTCACTCGAGGCTGTTTCCCATGGACCAGAGTCACGCGGGGTCATGTTTGGAATGCACCTCAAACAGCACTTTACGGACGCGGAAGAGCGACGCGTCTTGTCGGTCGGTGAGGAATGCGCCCATCGTCCTCGCGAATTTCCACCCGAATCCCCCGCGCTCGTCCAGCCAGGGTCGGCCCGTGTCAGCGTGAGACACGGGCCAGAGGTTCGCGAGCAGCGTCAGCTGCCTGAGCGGCTGACGGCGAATGTCTTGGATGTTCCTGAGTCCTGACCACGTTATCGCAAGGGTGGATCGCGAAAACTACCATGCCCTCCGGAAGGGGACCGAGACGGCCGCGGCCAACGCTCTCGTTGCCCGGCTCCCGGGACTCTTGTCCAGCCCGCCGTGGCGGCATGCGTACTGTAGCTTCTTGTCACGGGACGACCTGTTAGATCCGAACCAGCACGAGCAATGTGGAGAGAGCCAAGACGCAGAGGCTCTGAAGCTCGTCGTCCATCGGCAGTTGTGGCATCACGTTCATCCCATCGGAGGGGCCCGTGGCTCAACACCCGATCCGTGCGCGACGACAACTGGGCCAACGCTCAGACGCCATGTTATCTCTTCGAGCCGCATGATTGCAGACGCCCGTGAGCTCGCCCTGCTTAAACAGCGAGGTCGGCCGTTTCCGCATCCAGAAATAGACTTTACTTTAACACCAAGTGAAGAAATTGTCCCGTTGGCAATTTCCCTTTTGCTCATGTGCGTCGCGATTGTGCGCGCGTTGACTCTGGCTCCGCCTCGTTGACAACCGGGCACGGTTGCGTTGGTCCGCACCGCTATGCCCTGCAAACACGTCAGAACAGCTGTCGACCACTCGCTTTGTGATTCTCTTGTTGACCTGTTTCGGGTGTCTTCCGCGCGTGCGCCAACGCACCTGCCGAACGGGGCTATCACACAGATGGCCTTGCCCACGCAGACGTGTCACTCCGAGCCCGCGTCGTCTGTGAGCCCGGTATCGATCGAGGCCCGCCACGTCCGTGGCCGACGGTCGCACGAGATCGGGAATAATAGGTAACTACGAAAGTGTAGGGAGGCCAAAGCGCCTTGCACGGACGAGACTCAAAGGTTCTTAGCTGTCAAACTTACTGGTACGGCCCCCAAGAGAAGGACGTCCAAGATGGCACCTGCATATGCATGTGTCGGCCGTCATACCGGCTTTAATTTAATATTGCAATCAGATAGGGCTGAGCTGTGTGCGTTGCTCGTGGTAGTCAAATCGTTGTTGGAGGTGATAGCTGCAAATTGAAGGCATCCGATATGCGTGCTAGAAGACCTTGGTGCAGACGCATAGCACTCTAGTCATCACGGGCTTGAACAGGCGTGTTTATTTGTTCACCGAGAATACTCAAGGGCCCGTATGTATGTCGCGGTGCAAAGGTTCCGTCAATGTGGCATCTCGGATCCCACCTGAGCACCCGCATATCCCCCTTACATGTGCATGAGACCCCAACCTGGACTCTGGGCATGCCGCGCCGAGAGAAGGACGCGGCGGGCAAAATAATCTGCGCGCTGCAAAACATTTACCGGAGCTCCGGTTCCTGTTCAGGTGTGTAATTCGGTACCGACTGCTCTCTTGGTATTCCGGTCGTGTGCGAAACCTCGACGGTTATCGCAAGATGCATGAAGACGACGCGGCCCCATCTGTTCCTACATCTCGCCCGGGAGACGTGGGCGCGCCATTGACTTGATGACCATGGGAAAGGGGTTTGTTTGCGGAGCGCTTGTGAAAACCTGGCGATATAATGATCCTGCCTTATTTCGCCGTTCTAACTCATCACGGACAGCGAGTGGCAGTACGAGCGGTCGACGACGGAGAATATTTTGCCGTGAACGGGTCGGAGGTTGACAATACATCCACCATCATGGAACACGCTTATGTGACACCAGAAAAAAAAACAACTACCATGACCACTGTGGCTCTGCCCTGAGCTATAAACACCAAATGGCCACGACGGTGGCCGCGTCAATCCTGATGACGACTGAGTTCGTTCGACGCCATGACAGCTATAGGGTAGGTGCGCGTCTTTTGAAACATTCCTCACCGGGCACCCAACACGGACTGACGCAGTGATTGGTGCCAGGTAAGACTGAAACGACAGACAGGGTAGGGAGGAGAATGGGCGGCGAGGGTAGGAACGAAGGCATTGTGAACCTGCAAACGGTTTGCGGCAGCCAGAGGCATGACGACAAACCTTCCGGCGCCTCCGAGAACACGGAAGACGTCAGTGGGCTCGGGAGGCTCTCCACAGGCGGCGGGCTGGCGCCGTTGGGCGGCCCGGACTGCCGCCCGGAGATCCCTGCGCGCCTGGAGGGGCCGCCCGTTCTGGCTTCTGAAGGGGGGCTTAGCGCTGGTGGCCTGACCGAGACGGCAATCTTCGCCCATCACCAGTCCGGCCGTCTTGTCATTTTGCGCTTCCCAACATCGCAGATCTGCCCAACGTCGCACGGGAGGAGCAGAGCGCCCACTCGGACCGCAGTCGCCATGGCGCGCCGACAGCACCTCACCGCGTCGCTCATTCTGGCGCTCGTCGTCTTTTTCAGCATAACCTTCTTCATGACGGGCAGCTCCACTGCTGGACGAAACGTCGCCGATCTGTCACCAGGAGCCGCCCGGTCCGCCCCCGAGAAGCCGCTGAAGGGGCTCGACACGCCGCACGACGGTGCATCATCTTTTGCGGTCGACCTGGAAAGCGCGGGCGACCTTTTCAATGGCGACTCAATAGCGCCCAAGATGGAGAATGCGACTCTAAAGTGAGTGCACTGATCTGTGTCGCTGCTGGAGCCGCATGATCGCTCATTCCCCCTCAAACGAGCACCGGCTAACCGATTACCAGAGCCGAGCTCGGCCGTGCGACCTGGAGATTCCTGCACACCATGGTCGCCCGCTTCCCCGAGAAGCCGACGCCAGACGACCGCAAGACCCTCGAGACCTTCATCCACCTCTTTGCGCGGCTGTACCCGTGCGGCGACTGCGCGAAGCATTTCCGAGGCCTACTGGCCAAATATCCGCCGCAAACGAGCAGCCGCAACTCGGCCGCCGGCTGGCTATGCTTCGCGCACAATGTCGTCAACGAGCGCCTCCACAAGCCCGTCTTCGACTGCAACAAGATTGGCGACTTTTACGACTGCGGCTGCGGCGACGAGGGCAAGAAGGACAAGAAGAAGGAAGGGGAGAAGCGAGACGAAGATGCATTGGCTACTTCAGAGATCAAGGCCGAAGCGTTGTGATTTAGGGTTACAGGATACCGAGCATATAGCGGGCATGGTGTTATTTGATTTCAGTTTCCAGAACTTGTTATACAGGGCGGCTGAGCCTTGTGGCTCCAGCATGCTGCTTCGTGATGTCAATGATGTGCACCATTGGCGGCCGAAAACGCCACGTAGTCGGCCACCGTTGGAGCCCTCCTCGAGGTTCGTTGATGCGTACACTATTAATTAATGCGAGACACCCATATGGTTTGGCCTTGCATGCATGAGTAGACAGTATCGCCAGATCAAGGGTCGAAGGCGCGAGTGATGGCACGTGACTAATCACGTGATGACAATCAATCGGACCTTGGCGCGGCTGCGCGTACCCAGAGCTGCCTGAGCTTCACGTCAAGCTCCAGCCTTCCGGCCAACCACCAGCGACGCCGCCTCTACTTACGAATCCCGCAACGACATCTCCCATCTGCCCAAGAAGCGACTCCCGGTCTCCTATCCGACGCATTCTCATATACACGCTGTCAATCATGGAGTTCGGCCACAAGGGAGTGTTGAACGAGGGTGAGCTTGCGATCCTCGAAACCGCCGTGCTGGCACGAGACCGACCGCTGACGATTGCTGGCAGATGGCATCCACGTCGACATGGACCGGTTGAAGAAGGGCGAGGTCAAGTAGGTGCTCAATGCTGGGGAGCATGCCCGTATACCGGAAACTGACCTGTGGTAGCCTGGGAACCTCCATCATGGCGGTGACATTCAAAGACGGCGTCATCCTGGGTAGCCTTCTCCCCTAACCACGAGCCCCCTCCTGGCCCATGGCTGACTGGCCCCTCTAGGCGCTGACTCCCGGACGACGACCGGTGCCTACATCGCGAACAGAGTGACGGACAAGTTGACGAGGGTACACGACACCATCTGGTGCTGCCGGTCAGGCTCGGCAGCGGACACACAGGCCGTGGCGGACATTGTCCAATACCAGCTGGGCCTCTTCGCCATGCACAGCGGCAAGCCGCCGATGACGCAGACGGCCGCGTCGATATTCCAGGAGATTTGCTACTCCAACAAGGACCGCCTGAGGTGAGCACCGCCCAAAGCAGACGTTTGGCGTGCATGGCCGGGCCTGTGCGGCCGTTATGTGGCGTATGCTGACAAGTTGGATTCCTACAGCGCGGGTTTGATCATTGCCGGCTGGGACGAGCGGTTCGGCGGCCAAGTCTACTCAATCCCGCTCGGCGGCTCGCTGCACAAGCAGGCGTATGCGATCGGCGGCTCTGGGTCGACCTACATCTACGGCTACTGCGACGCCAACTGGAAGGAGGGCATGGAGGAGGAGGACGCCGTCAACTTCGTCAAGGGCGCGCTGCGGGAGGCGATCAAGTGGGATGGCAGCTCAGGCGGCGTGATTCGCATGGTGGTCCTGACGAAGAAGGGAGCCGACAGGCACCTGTACCTGCCGGACACGGACTACAAGGTGCGGCACGAGTAGATGGAGAGGGCAGCCGGCGTGCGGGGCATCGTCGACAGGTCACAGGGCATGACCCCAGCGGGAGGTTTCGACGTGCGCCATGCTCGCTGCAGGTGGATGGTGCGTGGAGGCTTAGACACGACTGCGTCTGTACAATAGAATCCGACAATGAGACGAGGCAAGACGACCGAGTGAGTTCCTTGTGGGGTGTGCTTGCAGTACCGCCACAGCTACGGTGCGACGCCCGTGGCGGATGCGTGAGATGCAGGTGGCGGAGGGCACGGGCAGGTCGGGGTCCTGCCGGGACTTTTGGATGCAGCGCGGGGTTGTGGTGCGGGTAGGGTGAAGCATCGGCCCCGAAGCTGCGTGAGGTCGAAAGTGGATTGCAGTCGAGCACGACGAGATGTGTGCTTGTGTGTGTTCAAGGCGGTGGAGTGCCCGGCCGGCCGGTATCGCGGCGCAGGCATGCCTTATCTCGATGAACGGGGCGAGTGACGTCGCAGCTGGCAGAGCGCCACGTATGGCGCCGTCTCGAGGACGCAGATCACGGACGTTTTGCATTGTGAGCATGATATCCTTGGACACAAGCCCGACCGCCCTCCGCCGATCCGGGGCGCGTTGGCAAGCCTACATCTTGTTATCTTCCAGAACAAAAAGTGGTGGCGCCGACTGTCACTCACTCTCTTCCAAGGCTGCAAAAGGTGACACCACAGACTGCCCCCACGTCGACTTGACGGGAGGCACAACAACAACATCAGCAAAAGGGCGGATGAGCTGGACCCGACGACGGCGTGGCATGGGGAATGGCGAATCCGCGGTGCGTGGGCTGAATCGGAGCCTCCGTTGACCGTTTCGAAACGTCGAGCTCTTCCAGGTTCTTTCTTCCCAGTTCCGACCACCCCCCACCCCCCGCGCGCCGCCGTCATCGCCCAAACGGCCTGTCCCCGACCCCACGTGCTAGAAGCCTTGGCTACGGCGCATCGCCTACCCGCCACACCTTTGCCCTTGTCTTTTTTTTTCTTTGGGTTGTTGTCGAGGCTACTGGCGATGATGATGCCGCCCCATGCCACCACGCCCATCAGCACATGTCCCTGGGGACGCTTTGCCGTATTGCACACCGTAACTCGTACTCGTAGATAGTCATGCCAGGGGAGAAGAGAGAGAGGGACGCTACGCAAGGGGAAACACACCAGGGGTTAGTTACCAAGGCAAGGCATCTTCTTCGTCCACGTTTTGTGCCGTACACCACCGCCCCCTGTCCAAGGGGAGGAATCACACATCGACGGACACGCACCCTGTTCATCCTGTCCGTCCCGGTGCCGCCCGTCCATCCGTCCGTCCCGGACGACCCCTTCCCACCTCGCTCGTGTTCGTCGACTCTCCCTCTGAACTGCCGGAGGACCGCCACGAGAGCAGCTTTCCCGCTTCGTCCCCCACCACCACCATCGAGCTTGCGCGGGGCTCTTTGGCCTTGGAGAACCCGTGGGTGACGTGAGTTGTGTTGCGGCTCCAGCAACTTGGCGATCAGGGGGGAGGGACCACCCGAGTCGCCACCAACTGCGTCACCGCACCGATCTGATAGCCGGCGGACGCTGCCTGCTTCGCTGTCTATCTTGTTCGAGCTCGTCGTCTTGAGCTCCTGGACATTCGGAGTTGACGACATATTCGAGCACTAACCGGCTCTGCCGAGCTTTACATACGATTCACCCAAGTACCGTGCGCGATCCTCATCACGATAGCCGGTTCGGGCCCACGCCGCTTGTACCCGCCCACCGCTTGCAAAATAGACAACGACGACGACGACGTTGCGACCTTTCCACGACGACTTCAGGCATCTACCCCGCGGTGGCAGGTCGGCTACTAGCTTGCAGGTGAGTGGCGCGGCTCTTGCATCTGTCTCAGCTTTTCTTATGTCCGTCTCATACCATGCGCCTCTCCGCTGGCACCCGTCGTCACCCCCCCGCGTCGTCCAAGTTCCGTCCTCCGAAGCTCAAGATGCCCAGGTGGCCCATCTTGTCATTCTCCGCTGCGAATTCCCCAAGTGAGGGAGCGGGAAGAGAGGTCGAGAACATGCGTTCATACATGTTTTTACATCCTACATTGCGCCAATGTGCACGTATATGTGTGCTCGCGCGGCGCATCGCCGTCACGGATCGTCCACGTGCCGTCCTACCCTCGTCTGCGCGCAAGGCTCAAAGAAGCTCCAAGGACTCACTCGAGTGACGTCGATGTCCCGCCGCTGTGTTCATGACGCGCGTGCGCGAAATGTCGGGTCGGGTACGACATCGCTGTTGCAACAATGCAATGGCTGGCCGTCTGCAGCGTGGCGCCGCGCGCGCTGTCTCACCTCGACGACGTCGTCTTATACGTCTGAAGTCAGTCAGAGAGAAGGCAAGTCTGCTTGCTTGCTCGCTGCTGCTGTGCTGCTCACTTCCAAGGCAAAAGGCGACGGCGCATCGAGCAGAGACGGCGACAACGACGACGTTATACACGCCGGCGGGATGCATGCGACCGACACAGAGACGGATGGAATCAAGGGTCCCTCACCCCCCCCTAGTCCGGGAACAAGGCATGGCCCCAAGGTTTGGGTTGTGGCGCCGCCCGGCGCGTGCGGTCGCTCGGCGCCTCCGGGATTTTGTCGTGCGCTGGTCCCTGCTCTCCCGCGCGAGACGAGACGACACGGGACACAAGGGCTGCCGCTGAACGAAGTTTTGGCTGGCATCTTGTGCTGCTCGCTCGCGGGCGCCTCGGACGGAGCGACAAGCGAAGCGAAGCCCCCAACATCACCTGTCCATGTTCGTCCCGATCACCGAAGCATCGGGAGGGTAGGGTCGTGCAAGAAGTCGCTTGCGCGCGTGGAGGAGGAGCGTCGCCGTCGTCGCTGCTGGGCCAGACTTCCATCTTTTGGTCCCCCATGAGGAGTTACTCCACTTTCAGTGGAGGCTGCTGCTATCGGGGCCGCCAGAGCGCCAGAGCCTGGCGCCGCATTCAGCACGTTGAACAGACGGGATGGAAGAGTGGGCTTCGCTCGCCTGCCATGGAAGGTACCTAGGCGCTGCCCGCAGAGCCGCCAGCCATTGCCCTGCAGGCTTGCAGCACCCGCCGTCTCCGTCCGTCCAGCGGTGCACAGGGCAGACCGCCAGCACCACCTCGGTGCCTGCCCGCCTGTACCACAGCTCGGCCACCACCAGGGCACCTCAATCTCTAACACATTGGGGAGCCCTGGAGAAGCCCAACTCTAGCGCTTCCTCGTTGGAGCCGCCGCCCCATCCACGGATCTCTCTCGCTCTGTCTTCCTCCCCCACCCCGCTGCCGCCGTCACCGCCCGCCCGCCGCCGCCTCGCCATCCCTCCTCTCCCTTTTCATCATCCCGGCATCAACACCACCCTCCCTCATTGTTCCCTCTCCTCGCGCCCGCGCCCACACCTCTGTCCCGTCTTCTTTCGAGGCACCATCGCCCAGTCTACGCGTCTCAATCTGCTCTTTTAATTACGCCTTTTCGTGCTTCTCGCCCGCCTCTTCGTTTCCACACGCTAATCTTTATTTCCTGCGCGACTTGTTGAGGCCAGACAAGGAACCAAGCTAGACCTTCGTCTCCATTGTCGTCATAATCTTATCCCACCCGCCACCGCGTCAGGCTCCATTCTCCTCCTCCTCCGCCGCCTTCGCCTCGCGTCTTCGTCCGACGCAGCGCAGTCGCACTTTCGCGACTCTCCGTCCTCCCTCATCCGTGGCCGCAGCTACGATGCCATGGCAGCTGTAGTCGGCGAATTCGTCCCCGATCTGTCCCGCTTCCATGATATGATCGTCACCCCCTCGTCGACTCTACACCAGCAGGCCCAACCCCAGCACCGCCGCCCGTCATCTTCTTCTGCCTCCCCGCGCCGACGCCCGTCTTCGCGCTCCCGCTCCTCCCCTCGCTCGGCACACGCGACGGCCTCGACGACGTCGCCCTCTTCCCGCCGCCCCGCTCAGCCGCCTGCACAGACGGTGCCTGGTCGCCACCCTCCGCGAGAGCCATCCGCGTCTTCCTCCTCCACCCCCGTCGCCGCCGACAGCCTGCACAGCGAAACCACCCCCACCGCAGCCGACGACGTGGCCGCCACCGCGATCAAGAGGGGCTTCGAGCCCTCCACGGGCGGCGACTCGCGCATCCCCTCGCCGCCTCCCTCCTCGTCGCCCGCTGTCGCTGCCGGTCCCGCGGAAGCCGACGATGCAAAGACGGCATCTATGGCATCACAGCTCGGAGACCGCGTCTCCGATCACCACTCGGCCTTGCGCCCTGATACGGCCGCCATGAGCGCCTCTGCGCGACGGCAGCAACCGTCGCCACCCGACGACGGCTTCCACGTCCCCTCCACCTCCGCCCCGTATCTGTCCTCGGCTGCGGCATCGAATCCGGAGCAGACCGTCGTCCACGTCCGCGATCTCGCCCACATACAGACCCTCGCCGGCGCCAACATGCTCGGCGGGTCCGGGCCCAGCGCGGCGGGCGATGCCCCAATCAAGTACGAGATAAGCGGCATGCCTATCAGCGACATCATCGAGATGGTCGCCGCCCTATTAACCAAGATCACTTCCACCAACGACCTGCAACACGATGCCATGCAGCGCAATGTCGCCCATCAGCAGCAGGCCAACCAGAACAGCGACAACGCAGGCGGCTCCCAGATGAGCCCGCTGAGCCACTCGGTCCTCGCCTTCCACGGCAAGAACGTGCCTGCCATCACCATTCTCAGCTATCTCTCTCGCATACACAAGTACTGCCCAACAACATACGAGGTCTTCCTGAGCCTTCTCGTCTACTTTGACCGCATGACGGAACGCGTCAACGACCTCGTCATGAAGACGGAGGAAGCACGGCGGCAGTCCGTATCCCGCCCCGTGTCATCCCACCAGCCCGCCACTCAGCATGACACTGCCATGCCGGACGACTCCCACGCCGCTCGCGCTTCGGACGAGAGCGACTCAGACCTCGCCGACGACGATGACGATGACATGGCGGACTCGCCCACCAGTTCTGCTCGCAGAGAAAGCACCCGGATCATCACGGTGCCTGACGAGCAGGTCCCTGCCATTGGACCTGCCACTTATTTTGTCGTGGACAGCTTCAACATTCACAGACTAATCATCGCCGGGGTGACCTGCGCCAGCAAGTTCTTCTCCGATGTCTTCTATACCAATTCCAGATACGCCAAGGTAAGCCCTTCATACGACTCGGACGTGGCAATCAGGTATCGTAACGCGCGTGGCTAATGCCCCAACAGGTCGGTGGTCTCCCTCTCGCCGAACTCAACCATCTCGAGATCCAATTTCTCGTCCTCAACGACTTCCGTCTCGCTGTGCCCGTGGAAGACCTCGAGGCGTATGCGACGATGCTCGTCGAATTCTATGCGCGTGAGGTTATTGCGCACAAGACGGCACCTGAACCGGTGTCCTAGGATCCTGGGTCGATGCCGTTTGACTGCGAAACAAACTTCGAGTGGCCTCTGGCTGCAAATGAGAAACGTCATAGACTGAGAGAAGCATGTCTGAGTACTGTTGAAAGCCAATGGTTGTCTTTCAGTAGGCGGAGGCGCGGGCTTCCATCATCGAGACGACACATCAAAATCCGGTGGTAGGCATTTCGCTTCGCCACGGCCCTGCCTCTTGTCATCTTGACCAGTGTCGATCCCGGGGCTGCACATTTGGGAACTCTGTGAGGCAGGCAAGAATGGAGACGTTGTGAGCAAGCATGGACTCGAGCGACCAAGTCTGCTATTAGCGGGTTGATCTCATACTAGCCTGGAGTTTATCTCATCAATGGGTTGGACAAGCTTTGGTTTGGCTTGTCCAGCAAGGCGCATTGGTTAGACGAGACGGGAGCGACCATTGGGCATAAGACGCGCCAGCGTCGAGGCTTTGGGAGCCCACGAGGGCGAATTTTGGGACCTACGCAGCTCGGGTCCTTCGCCTCCCGCGGATCCGGGGAGGGATATATACCACGAGGCTGTGGAAGCCGGGTGCATCGGCGTGGTGGCTTTTGTTGGCATGGGTTGGGGAATACGGCCCTGACCGCCCTTCCCCGGCGGATGCGTGTGCTGCCAGGGGCTGGCTGGGTCGAGATTAGAAGGCGCATCATCGCATTGGGCGGTCGGACGTGGGCAAGCCGGGGGGTAGGCGCTGTGGGCTATAGATAGAAAGTTCTCCACGGAGCCGTGAATCAGGCAGAAAAGAGATTCAAGGATAATAAACGGCGCACGGTATACATGCGACTCGACTCGACTCGGCTCGACTCGGTACGTGATGATATGGATGATCAGTTTTGTCCTCAGCGCCGCCATCGCTGGCTGTGCAAAAGCATGCTACTTACTATACGTGTGCATGGTTCGGGTGTGAGTAAACAGTTCCGCGGCGCCGGGGCTCTCGGACCGGAGCCGATCCTTCCGGCCGGAGGGAGGTCCTCGACCAGCGGCGCCGCGAAAGCTGACAGAACCCGGGCCGTTGGCGGGCGGGCGAAGGGCAGCGGCGCAGCGACTGACGTACATGGAACCGCGGCAAGGAGCGACGACAAGATACATGGCATACAACATTCAAAGGCACAGCAATCCCACAGCGTGCGTTGAAAGCAAGACCGACTCCTCGGGAGAAGCAGAGTTGGGTTGATTTCGGGGATGCAAGCAGCCCCGTATATGCATATACGTACAGGACTCGAGCAGTCTCACGCCTGCCACCTCGTCCTTCCGTTTGCTCGTTTTCGCCTTCATCACCATTCATTGCCGCCGCCGCATTGTACCGCTGCATCGTAGTCTAGGGACCTAGGCTCCTAGAAGGTAGATTGACTCCTCCCATCCTTCCCTCCTTTCCAGACAGGCACAACGGGGTGTGTAAGTGACCGCTCTCCGTCTCCAGGCTCTGACCAAGGTCCAGCCGAGTGTTTCCTAGCATCAGGATATATCCGCCCAAGGCGGAGTAAATAATGATAGTCCGAGGCGAGCGCCTAAAGCGCTATGTGTCGTCGTGCCTCCATGCCGAGAAAGTACATGTCGTAGCGTATCTCTCTGTCGTGATATCGTGAAAAAAAGACATGCATAAAACAAACGCCCGCCCATCGTACAAGGTTAAATGCCACCATTCACGCCGAAATAGCAACGCTAGATCCGCCCCATGCAAAATTACGAGTGGCTTTGCCCCCACCAAAGGTCTGTCGTTCAACGCCGGCGCCGCTGTTAGAGGTGCGCCCTCGACTTCATCGGCTTCCAAGTCTCGGTGGCATGGTCGAAACTCAGCTCGGCATTCTCCATCTTAACCCCGAGCTGCCAGCGGCCCATGCCTGGCCAGAAGTTCTCGTACTCTCCGATGAGCTCGCCCTTCTCGTCACGCATGGACATGTCGAACCAGCCGGCGCGCGTCGTTCGGCTGTACTGCAGCGGGATGACTTTGCACCACACGTCTGTGCTCGGTAGCTCCCCTTGGCTCCCCTCACCCTGCGGCACCGGCGGCATGGCGAGTGTGGTCTCGAAGCCGAAGTAATTGGCCCATCGAGTGGCGAAAGGGAAAGAAGGCACGTAAGAGACGGGCTTGAAGGTGGCCTGGAAGAAGGGGAGTGGACTAGGCTTGGACTCCGTGATGTCGTCAGTGGTGTCATGCGGATAGACCTTGACTGAAACCGAGTCGTTCGGGCCGTAATCCCAATCAAACCTGGCCAGATGTTTGGGACAATTCCAGTCTGAATGCGGCGTGTTAGTATCTGGCCATGAGGGGGGAGGGAATCATCGGCTTCCGATTCCGTCAATTCCAGACGCCACGTGAACTGCGCAATAGACACAAGCAGCCTGCGCACAGCGAGGACCGCGGAAAACACAATGCAATTGCGAAGCCAAGCACAAGAGAACAGGCACAAACTTACTGACGCGGCCGTTGTAACATGTGTGTTTTTGAGAGACGTAGATGCGAGTGATCCGGGGATTGCGCCCCACCTCCCGGCGGCCGTCCGGGCCGTCACGGGACCAATCGAAAGAGCCGGGAACGACCAACAGCTCGTCGTACGGACCGACGGGAGAGTCTCGGTACCGGATAATCTGGATCATACTGAGGCCCCCAACGGGGTGGCTGCCAGGAGGGTTGGCAAAATCGGTGCCTGCCTCAAGCGGCGAATAAGCGTGCTTTGGCAGCTTTCTAGCGGCGGCCCCCGAAGTCCACCACGAGATGCAGTAGACATCGCCGTTGAGCGTCCAGGGAGGCGGCACGACTTTGATGGGGTCCGGGTCTGGCATAGACGCCGCGGCCGGCCAAATCTCCTTGTCTGATGGTAACGAGACTGACGACGAGGTCGCATCGGGCGCCGACGACGGCGACGAGGCCGCGTCTCTGCGAGAGACGGTGGTCGAAGCAGTGGTTGTGGTAGAGCTCATGGCCGGCGGCTCGACATGGGGACAGGGGCTTGGTGTGAAGCAGGTTTCCGTTCCTGGTACGGAGCAGTAAGTGCAGGAGCCGGCAGATGGATGGATGATGGGGGCGGATCGGAGGCGGCGAGGGGCGGCTATTTGAATGCTCCGCCAAGTGTCAAGCATCGCAAAGGCACAAGGGGAGGGAGACGGTGCCGGAACGATCGGGCACAAGACGACGACGGCTGGAGCAGAAGCAGCGCAAGAGAGCGCGCGCGGATCCTCGGCGGGCTCCTCGCTCGAGGCCTATCTATTGGAGCCAAGGCGGAGCAGCCTAGCCCATTGTCCGAGCTCTCGTGAAGAGGCAGGCGGACAACTGGGCTAGGTGGGTGGTGGTTGTCCCGCGGGTCCGCCGCGGCAAACAGCGAGACGGAGGAGATGGGGACGAAGCAACCGGCATGGATGTGGATGTGGATGGGGATGGTGACAGGCCGGCCCAGATGGCCCAAAGCAGGGACTGCAGTCACTCCACGGCGCTGGACCCGTGTGTTCGGGACTCAGGAGGTGCCTGTGCTTGTGCTTGTGCTGGGCTCACAGCCGTCAGAGTGTCCTATGGGGAGGCCCAAGGAGCGCGGGCAGGGGACTCATGGGTCTCCAGCGTGGCATGGCATGCTAATGAGAATGGAGTCGGTGGAGTGGGATGGGGGACTGGCGGGTGGATGGGTGGACGATGGGTGATGGATGGATGGAGGATCGCTGGTGCAAAGGGGGGGTGGGATGGGAGGGTGGACGGATGAGCGGCGGCTGGCGGAAGTGAAAGAGGACGGAGGGAGGGATCTGAACGGCACGATGCATGAGTTGGTCGATGGTGGTGCATGGCCAGACAGCAGAGAAAGCAACGCCAAGTCATGATAGCGCCGGGCTGGGCGTCGGGGATGGCCTCGCCTCCGCCGTCCAGGGCCTGGATGCAGGTGTTGCGGTGCGCATTGCGGTGCTGCTGCAGCCCAAAGGTATGGCAGGGCAGGGTAGAATGCGCTGTACTTGCTGAGTTAAGGTAGGGATCGGGGACTTTGGGGGCCTCGAACTGACTCCGGCGGCGGGCAGAGACGCACGAGATGGGGCGCGGGACGGGGATCCATGCCGTTGACGGCGCCAGAGAGGAGGTGCGCCCGAGTTAGTACCTGGACCTGAGAAATCACGCGGCGTGCTGGGAGGACCTGAAAGCTTTGCGCCGCCAGCCGGGAGGGAGGGATTGGACTGGAGCGGCGTGTTTCCCCTGGGGCTGATGATGATGAATCCCGCAACAGGAGCCGGGCTGCCCTGAGGAAGCCGAGGCCAGCGCTGGGTGCGATGCCCTTCTGCAACTAGCGCCACACGGGTTCTGCTAGCTCATGCGACGGCTTGCCATGAGGCGCCCGCCGGCTTTGGTGCTCTTTTTTTCTCCGGCCCACTGGCTTGTCAATCGCTGCGCAGCACTCGCCACCGACGGCTTCGTCGAAGGGCGCCTCCGTGGGCAGGGGACCTGCGGCGTCATGTCGATGGGGGGCATGGATCACGGCCATGGCTGCCAATGGTTGCGGGTGCGGCGTCGTCCAAAATCTGGCCCGAATGCCGTATCGCCTTGTGTGCGCTAGGCGTTGACGGGCACGGCATCCGACTTTGATCTGGGGACTGCCCGAGTGCGTTCCCCCCCAAGCCCCCATCGCCAGTATGGGCCCCCAGTATCGTCGCCTCTGGTGGCGGTCGACGTGGGCGCACGGGAGACACAAGCCATGCGGCCGGTGGGGGCTGCCATCCCCATCTGGCGCGAGCGCTGCAGGCGGTCGAGCTGCCCACGTTGCAGTGTCGCTCGCCACCGGGCCGCCGTGTGGCATCGCAGAGCCCAGGTTCCCGGTCCATGTTGCCCGTGCCCGCGTCCAGGTGGCGCTGCATCGGGCAGGCTGAGAGAGGAGCCAACGCCCAGCCCGATGCAGACATGCGTCCTGGCACAACATCAGCGAGTGCCCTGGTGCTGGCCATGGAATGGGGAGGAAGTGACTCGTCAAAAAGTCGAAGGTGGCGGCTGCTGGATTGACCAATGTTGGAAGCCAAGGCGTCTGGGCAACAACAACATGCCAGCACAACTTCGATACAGCTTCAAGACGAGAGGCGGCGGCGCCTGAGGCAACCACATGCCGTTTGGTTGGTCGTGTGCTTCGCCGTCCTTGCACCTTCCTTTGTTCCTTCCGCACCTTCCATATCATTTCTTGAAGATGCAGTGCTGTACTTCGAACTGTACCACAATCTTACCAGGCACCAAGTACCTTGAAGAGCAGCACCTTCCTTGGGCAGGCACGAATGCTCTCAAAACCTTCAACACCAGCCTCACGCTCTTGTTGACGAAGCAATGCCCGGCTGCTTTCTCGCACTTGCGCTGTGCCACGTTTCCAACGGATTTGCTGATCGATGGATGCACTCAAGCATCCGGTCTTAATCCTGAGCACGGACGCCGCGGCGGCGCTTCCCTCATCTCCAGCGACGCAGGCCCCAGCCTGCAGCCCTGTTCGGCGGCGGCACAGCCAGCCAGCTTTCCAGCCAGTCCAGCTCGCATCCGCGCGCGAAATCCTGCAAGAACAGTGAAGTGCATCTACGGCACAAGCCCGTGCATCTCCGTCTTCTTCCCGCCGATTAAGTACAACTAGCACGGGCTGAGGACATCCTCCACAGTTGACAAAAGGCCCAGATTCCTGACTCGCCCGCCGCCCCCAATACCAAGCTTTGCCGCCCCCGGAAGGCGCCACCCCTGTTGGGCCTTCCAAGGATCGCCTTCGCTTACGCCATATTTCCTCTCTGGGATCCGGCGTGAGGCGCCCTGTGCCATGCTTGGAAAGCCCCCAATCCAAAAGGCATAAGCTGTTTCGTCCTTCGTTAAGAAGTGAGCGCTGTGCCAGCAGCCACGTTGCGGCCGACGTACGGCCTAATCTTATCAACACCAAGCACCTTTCTTGGCAAGACACCACCAGCTGATAACTGTCTTCCGACAGCTGCTGCCGCTGATCCATGGGACACGTTGGTTCGACAAGGTGGCATGCGACGGGCGCTGGTTGCAACGACTGGCGACATCCACCTGCGTCTAACCCGCAATTCCTCCCTGCAGCCCCTCGTCCGCCCCTCCAATGCAACAAACGCGAGACAGACTGTCGGCGGCTGCAATACGCATGCGTCATCTGGCGCCTCAGGGGACGTTCGGAAAGCTCAGACGGACTTGGCTCTGAGATCGTGCCGCTTCACTTTGGTGGCCCAGCCACCACTCATAGAACCAAGGTGCTTGCGTGCAGCGGGCCATTTGTCGAATAGTGCCGCCTTCTTGGTTCCCTGCTACAGTACCCGCCTGCCACATGTGCTGCCGAACCCACGGGTCCCAAGGCTGTGGAAAGCGTGCGGGTCTGTGTCTCAACTTTTTGCATCACCATTTCAGCCGCCCGCTGGCGTGGGCGGCAATTGGACACCGTCACGACGCCATGGTGTGGTCGTGGCTTGCCGTGCTGGCAGGGGTTATCCTCTCACAACAACGGCCGGCCAGCAGGGTCTTCGATTTGGTGTCCGTGGCACCTGTTCTTCGTTGACCCTCAGAGCTAGCCCTCGTGGCAAGCCGAACCCCCGGCCTCAGGCGAGCAACGTCCGCCTCACTAAAGTTCTGCGACTTCACAGGATCACGGCCGCGGGTCGTTCAGCCACATTTCGGGCCCATCGCTCACACTATGGATGCTCGTTTGATGCCTCGAAGGGGTATATCGTCAATCATCCTGCAGAACCTTAATGCCTTCGGCGGCCGCAGTCAAAGTCACCGACGCAAATTGGCTGCCAGGGCACGTCTGCTGCCTCAGGAGCCAGGGATAGCATGCGGCCGCAGCCTGCCTGCCGTGACGCGCTGGTACGGTCGCATTGCATCTAGGGATCTTGGCTGCTCAACGTCGACCACTGAGGCGCGTCCAAGAGAGCAGCGTCATCCGCCCCGCAGGCCGCCATCCTGTGACTACACGCCCAGCTCGCTGCCTACGTACCCGTACATGTTGCATTTCGAAAGCACCAGCGGGGCGACGGCCGGCTCGCCGCTCAGACCGAACCAGGGCCGCTCGTCGTCGTGCGCTAGATCCAGCACGTCGCGTCCTTCACATATTCTCGATCTGGGGTACAGGAACGACCGACACCTCTAAGACAAGGGCGGCAGCGGACGACGGCATGACATATGGCTCGATCGATCGACAATCCACTCCCAAGGATACGTCGGGGATCTTGCCCCTGAAGTTTACGGCGGTTCCGGTGCAAGACGGCCCACGCGAGCCACGCCTGCGCAACATACATGCCTACATGTGCGCGAGGAACCGTGCTCAAGATATGCGGACGCTAACATCGTGCACGCGCTGCTCTGTGCTTTATTACCCGCACTCGTAATTAAGACTTGTTTGTGCGTCCCTGATCCGCCTGCTCCGTCCTCGTGCGGGCACGGACACGACACCACCCCGCATCCCGCATCATCAAGTCAAAGACACTCCCCTGCTCAGAGGCCGGACTTTCGGGACGTCCCACTAACACCGGCCCAGGCGAGCTTCGATCAGATGCGAGCTGCTTCAAACGGGGTTGCCAGTCGCTCCTTCGGTCGCGCGTCTGCTGTTGGTTTGCACCATGCCGCGCCGCACCACGCGGAAGCCTTTCCTTGTCCAGGCCCCAATGTCCGCTCCGCACTGCGCCGCCCACGGCCTCTTTTGATCTTATCGCCGGCCGCGCCATGGGCCCCAGAGCCGCCCGGAGGCATCCACCGCCAGCAGCGGGAACCGGAAAACAAGAAAAAAGACCATGTGCACTCCGCGTCCTGTGTCCGAGCCTGTCTACGAGGCCGTGTTGGTTGCACCGGCCCGACTTGTCAACCCGGGGGGAAAAGATGCGAGCAAAAACGACCACGGAGCGCGCGCGACTGGCCGTGCAGGGCAAGACACGCCCACACCCCACCCCTGTCGCCGTTCACTCGGCTCCCTGAAGCCCCGTCCGTGGCGATCCAAGACATCACCACACACCGCCGATGATGTTTGGAGCAGGGGACGAACGACGCAAAATAGCGACTTCACTGTGGTAGCGACGCCTGTGGCCTCGTCGGTACATCCGGCTTGCGACGCTGTCCCGTCCTGTAGTGTCTCCCTCGGTCGACTCCCGAGCGTGCGACGGCACCACTGGGGAGTGACTGGGCGATGTCCCCGGTTGACTGTCGCACAACGGCCCGGCACGTTCGTCGTCGGAGTCCGACCCTTCCCTAGTAAGCCCTGACATGTGTCGCAAAGAGACCTGCGCATTTTGGTGTTCCAGGTTAGCAGGCGTTTGTAATCTTGTGGTCCATACGAAGCACTTTCTTATCGAGACTTGCCTGAGGGCTCATGGAAGGAGCAGTCATTGCCTTCCCCAGACGCGTCACTACGCGATCAATCACCACCTGCTGAAACGACGATGCATCTCCATTAACGGCAGGCTAACTCTTTGTAAGCCGATATGTACAAGTACTGCTGCGATTTTCGAGCCATGCTCCATTACTTTGTTCGACCCCTTGAAACAAGACATGATGCCTTAACATAACGGCCAACATGCCAGCAGCCCATGCCATATCGAGCCCTGTAGTCAGACGAACCTCGTACTTCATACCCACAACTCCAACCTCTTCTTCGAATGACTCCAGGCGGGAAGCTCTTTCGCGCGAGGTATTTTGACGTCGGCGCTGCTGATGGCAACATGCAGCCCCTCTATCGTCTCTGGCTCAATCTCCCCGTCATTGCTTCCGAGGACGCGGAAGTGCAACATCTCCCTGAGGAGCGGTGTCACTGCAGCCGGTGACAAATCTGCAATGTATCCCGCTGCTACCATATTCATCAGAGCCGAGGTCAACGGCAAAGCTCCCGATATCTTGGACTGCGATTTGTTCGTGTGCTTCATCGAAAACATGGCTACGGATCCTGCCAGATTCTGAGCAGATTCCCAATCGAAGACGCTAGTCGGCGGCCGGCCCATGAAGAAGTAGACCGCGTAGGATCCATCAATGGCGTCTGCGTTGACACGAACGTTGGCAATCCATTCTGTATACCCGCCATGCCTGATCAAGCGCGAGCTTGAAGGCTTATTCGCGCTCAGCTGGACATTTGGCCTGAATGCACTGGTCTGGGCGTTCGCCTTGGACGCATGTGCGAACGGCGAAGGTTGGCCGACTCCGTGCTGAGCAATTGCCATCTGGCCAAGGGGGCTGGACGAGCCGTACCATTTGTTGATCTTGTCGATGAGTGAGTTGCGAATGGCGTCTTCGGATCCGCGAGACGGGTCGGTATCCGCATACGTGTAGCCAAATACCTCTGTGATCCTCGACATGTCGGAGTCCCAGAATGTGCCATCTGAAGCGACGTAGAAAGGAGTGAGGGGAGTCTTGGAAGTTTGGATCGTCCCCTTGACTGAAGTGAATGTGTCCTCTCCCGCGGCCATTGGCGTAATCCAAGCCGACGGATTGAGCATCTGCCATATGGCAATGAGCCGATCCGTCATGATGTGGTGAAAAAAGAACAAAGGATCAAAAGAAGACAGTGGGACATAAGTCATGTGGCCCTTGGATCCGCCGTATACGTGAATCATGTCGTGAATGGACTCGACTGAATCCATCATAGACAGACCTTGCGACGGTGCCCAGGCCTTGTTGCTGAATGTATTGTAGTCATGGTAGCTCGAAAACAAGACGTAGAGGCGCTGCTGAATCTCGGGTAACTTTGACAATAGGGCCTCGTTGACTTTGGAGTTGTTGGAAGGCGGTGACGTGAGACTGATCTCCATTTCGGGGCCTCTCTTGGTTTCGTTCCATTGTTTGAGCTGTCGGAATGTCAGCTTGTGCAGAAACAACGGAGCGTGGCAGTAGTACCGGGTTCCAAATGAGTGCGTCTTCATCGAGGGGGTGGAAGTGATAGGAAAAAAGCGGGTTCTTGATGTTTTGAACGCCATTAGGACCGGTTTGAACGACCATAGGGCTCCAGAACACGTCTGGGAGATGCGTCTCCCCGGGTGGCGGGCTTTGGGACCAGTCCCAGTACGGGGCACGAAAATCCGAGGCCGCAAGCTGGTAAAGTCGTCTTTCGGTGGCATCTGTGAACATTGCGGCGATGGTGTTGGCCATTGTATACAACTGTTGCTAGAGCGAATGTCAGAGATGCCAGTCATGCAGTGCAAGGCCCGAGCTCCTAGCGGTGCCTACCTCGTAGAGTGCCAGATAGGGTCGGTGCCATGTGGGAAAGAGAACCGAGCTATGAGGGCAGTAACCTGACTGATTCGCGCCAGGAGAAGCCTGAACACCATTCCAAGGAACGAAAGGGACGCCGTGTATGCCTGCCAACGGCTTATCAGTCGCGAGCTCGTCGGGCTTGGTCACGGGTGGCACAAACCAGTAACCTGGTAATAGGACAAAGGATCGTCTTGATCAGCATTTTGAAACATGCTCATTGAAAGAATGAAGAGGTCCCATTTGTGTTTGTCTGCCCTCATCTGTCGGATCTCCTGCCGAACCGGAATGGTGCCGTTGGCGGCGAGCGGCAGCTTCCCGACCAGGATCGGGCTGGCGGTCTGCCGCCGAGTAAGGCGAGAGACATCGACACCGAAATCATATCCCTGTGCACGGGCTAGGTTTATGATGATACTGAGGACACTGAGAAGGAGAACGAGGCTCGTCGCTGCTCGCAGCATTGTGTGTCCCTTCGAGATCTGGCGGAGGGGTGCTGGTGATGATGGCAGCGTTTCTGGTACGACGACAAACGGATAAGCGAGAGGGACACCGGGGCGCGCGCTTCTCTCTCTCGCAAAGAAGTTGGATCTAAATGACAGGGTAAACGAGGTGGTGATGATCAAGAAGCACCAAGGTCTTGAAGAAGCGCCTTGTCCAAGCACGCAGCGAGCGAACGCCCTGGACACGACGTGCGAGAGAGACGGCGGTAGAAAAGAAAGAGACCGGTGAGCTTCTTCTTCACTGGCGCGTAAGGTCGAAAAATGTTGAACTGGAAGACAGCAGAGGAGGTAGAGAAGGGTGTGGCGGGTGAAGGAAAGAGCGAGGGCTGTGAGTCGCTGGGGCTGCGCTCTAGGCAGGAACGGACGACATCTCGACATCCGCTCCTGCCTCCTCATGGCCAGACGCGCACGTTATGACAAAGCCGGCCACAGCGCCCTCGGCAGACGTTCGATTTTCTCAGCTGATGATGGCATCACCCCAGGCTTTTGCGTCGCAAAGCCTCATCCGGAAGGCCACGGCGGGCGCTTGCGACGAAGACCTGAATAATGCAGCCACATTCAGCACGAGTATGCAAGCCGCTGGCTTTGATACACAAACAAGCGACTACAAGACACGGCTCTGTTGGCCAGTCGCGCGATCATGGCGCGGCATCAAGACCCGTCACACCAGTACGACGCGCAACGGGTGCCGACAGCTTTTGAAACGGGCACCCGCTCACCACTGCCATTTGAAGCATGTCGCTCAGTTATTCGCCGCGGAGCCCAAGACTGCCAGGGCGGAATGCGACGCCACACTCGCCATCCATGGGTTGGGCCTACCATGGCCGTTACTTGCAACTAGCAAGAACTAGGTACCTACCTTTCATTCCGACATCGAAGAGAAGGGGGGGAGATGGCCTGCACGAGAGTGAGCATCTGCTGCCCCTGGTATACGGATATGCATGAACTATCGACGCGAGCCTGGGTTATGTGCCCGGCTGGCATGTTCATTTGATGTCAAGCGGACGAAGTTACGACCTATACATGCTCGCCTCCCCGACCTTGGATTGTGTTTTCTCCGGCCCGGCAAATACCTCCTGGAAAACCTTCCTCAGCCGTCCCAAAACCTCGTCGCCGTTTTGCGCAACCTGATAGTGAGTCACGAGGCGGCCTCCCATGACCTTGAGGCCAGCCTCTTCGCTGAGCTGCACGAAACGATCTTCGCTACAGCCTGCAGCCTCCAAATCGAGCCAGCACATGTTCGTGTGCGCCGGATGAACAAGGGTTCCACCCAGCTCTTGCCAGAGGGCCTCGACCTTCTTGGCCATCTCGTGCGATTTCTTGAGTAAGCCATCGCTGCCATCGGGAGCTCGGCCGAACGTCTCGTCGACGGCCACCCTAGCGGCCGCCGTGACGACTCCAGGCTGCCGAAGGCCGCCACCGATCGACTTGCGTACCCATCGAGCATGCTTCAGAGTCTCCTCGGTACCAACAAGCATGCTGCCAACCGGCGCGCCGAGGCCTTTTGAGAAACAGAGGCTGATGGTGTCAAAGTAGGAGCAAAAGTCGGGCAACGTGCCGGCGCCCGCCACAACGGCTTCCCACAGCCTGGCACCGTCGCAGTGCAGCTTGATGCTGTGCTGCCGCGCAAACTCGGCAATGCGCTTGACCTCGGCCAGTGGCATAATCATCCCGTTGAGAGTGTTCTCAAGGCTGATGACCTTGGTGGGGCACGCATGGACGTCGTCACTGAGGACCACGTTGGCTGTCACATCCTCGAGCGTCAGATGAATGCCGTTTTTCGGCACGACGGGCTTGACGGTGGCACCGGTCAAGGATGATACCCTGAAGCTCTCGTCAGTATAGGCCGTGGGCTGGCAGTAGCAACGAGGGACGATGGACCACTGACCCGCCAGCCTCATACTTGATGATGTGAGACCGATGGTCGCACAACACGCCGTATGGTGGTTGGACAAGGAGGCTCCTCAAGGCAAGCTGATTGCCCATGGTTCCTGAAAGAACAAACAGGCCTGCTTCTTTGCCGGCAAGAGCGGCAACATGAGCCTCCAAGTCGGTCGTCGTCGGATCTTCTCTGAAGACATCGTCAAAGAGGGTGCAGGATTGGATGGCAGCCAGCATTGACGGGGTAGGCGTGGTCATGACGTCGCCTGCAACATGTCAACGCTGCGCTTTCACCAGAGACGCTCAGACTGTTGGCGGGTGTCTCACTCCTCAGGTCCAGAGAACCAGGGCCCTTGGCCCCGATCCAGGCATTGTGCACGCCTTGGGTGGGCTGCGACGTGCCAGGAGTGCCGTTCATGGCTGCTGACGAGTTGTGCAGATGTCGACGGGACGCGGTTCGAAATGTGGACGGCGGCTTCTGGAACGACGACAGCTTCCAGAGATGGCGGCACCTTGAGGGCAACGTGGCTGCTGTGGTCGCCATGAGAAGGCCCGGGCTAAATCAGGTTGGATGAGCAGCCTACAGGACAGTAACTGCCGCACCGGACAAAAAGTCCAAAGTTGGGCCGCCGAAATAGCCAGAATGGCAGGCTGCGGAGAGCGTACCCAGGACCCCACCACGGCCTGTGTCGGCCGGTCGCCACCGGAAGGGCGTGGATGGCGTCCACCGGCCCCCGGCACCAGTTGTCTGCCGGGTCGGGTACCGTGCCGCGATGCCGGCTAGGCGGGTGGTCGGAGCATTATGCGGCCGGCCGACTCTTAAATCTCGGCATTCTCTCCCGCAATTCAGAGTCCTGCCGACGTCTGGGCGTATCATCCAACGGGGTCGGTGGCGGGCCGAGGCTGTTTGCTTTCTGGGTGCTGAAGCACGGCGGCGCAGTTTGCTTCTTGGCGGCAAACAATCCAACCGGATGGACAAACACTGGCCTCGGCCAAACTGCTGGTCCTCATTCCATGCCAGATGAGACACGGCGCCGCCGAAGAAAGCGCGGACACGTGCCCAGGCTTAAACGGCAACAAGGCGACGCTGGCGGGCCAAATTGAGATCATCTGCCCTGGTTTCCCGATGCGAACATGTGCCGGATCGGATCGGCTCGTGCGACCCCAGATTTCCGGTTGTGGCACTCGCATCTGCATCTCTATCTCTTGCAGCAGAAAGCACGCGATGCAAATCGTCGTCTGCAAGCGTCACCATGTCCCGTTGCGGAACAACATTGACATCACTGAAGAATGTCTCACCGCGTCGACTGCCAAGCCTCGCGCACAGAGAAGCCCAAAACGCTAAGTCGATGGAGCTCGTAATTGGTGGGCACAAGGATGAAAGTGGCCTGGCCTAGCCTGCGGCGGTGCATGGCATGATTCCAACATCAATGCCTCCGCTCGTATTGTCAGCTACGTAGTTACAGCCTACGTGGCGCTGGGTCCGCGCGCCTTGGCTGGCCGACCCAGCGTGAGGCCCTCGACAAGGGGACGTTGAAACGCGGCTCCTCCGCGAAACCCGCGACTTCGTCTTCAGAGTCCATCCTCGCCGTCATGCGCCATGCCTTGGCGCCTTGAACCGTCAAGCGTTCCCGATCTCGCGCCATGGCAGCGCGGCCAGTCTTTAACCTCGCCGCCGCTGCGCTCGCCGGCTTCGCCCTCCTGATTTTCATTTCGCGACTGCCTCTTCGAAGCGCCTCCTTGGTGCACCGAGTCTCGCCAACCGACCTCGCCTTGCGGCTGCCTCGCCTCAATTTCACTTCGTCTTCCCCGTCGACCAGTCGGCACAAGGAATACTACGCTTCCGAGGCAGCCGCCGAGTTCTGCGCCGCCCATGGATACTCCGTCTTCTCGCCCGAGTCAGACTCCGGGGAGCGCAAGATATACGATCTCTTTATGGCCAATTCGGAGCTCGATTTCCTCGAAATCCGCCTGAGCACCATGTACGATCACGTCGACTACTTCATAATCGTCGAATCGCCGGTTACGTTCCAGGGAACACTAAAGAACCTCACGATTCGAGATAATTGGGACCGATTCTCCCAGTGGCACGACAAGATGATATACCACCTCCTGGAGTTTCCAGCTGGGTTCGCTCCCAAGCTCACCTGGGACTACGAGGACCTCCAGCGTGACGCCACCTTCAAGCAAGTCTTTCCGAAGCTGCAAGGAAGGCAGGCCCCAGTAAAGGGGGATGTGCTCCTCGTTGCCGATGTGGACGAGATTGTTCGCCCGGCGACGCTGCTGCTGTTGCGGACGTGCAACTTCCCACGGCGCCTGACACTCGCCTCCAAGTTCTACTACTACTCGTTTCAGTTCCTCCACGTGGGCAACGAGTGGCCGCATCCACAAGCGACCTTCTATCAGGGCGAGCGGGACACCATCCTGCCGTCCAAGCTCCGGAGCGCCGACGGGGACAGCCGGCTGCAACGAGCGCGCGAGTCTGGCACGCTGAGCAACGCGGGCTGGCACTGCAGCAGCTGCTTCGCCACGATGGACCAGTTCCTGAACAAGATGGCCAGCTTTTCCCACATGTGGATGAACGAACCCAAGTACCGCGACAAGGGGCGCATTGCGGCCGCGGTTCGCGAGGGCCGGGACGTATGGGGCCGGGCAAGCGAGGTATTCCGTCGCATCGAAGGCAATACTGACGTGCCGGGCGTCCTGGCCGAAGCGGAAGGGCGGAGGAGATTTGGTTACATGCTGAGTCGCGACGGTGAGAGCGCAGGGTTCTCCGATTATCCGTAGCATCTCGTCGACGGCGCCAAGCGTGGTCGACATGTATCGCATAGCATTCTTGGGACGGCGTCAGGTTTGACAGTACAGGCGATTAGGTGTAGATCTTTGTAAATGTGTATATATTAGAGGCGATGTCCCCAGCGGACAATGACTTTTCTTCTTTCCTCGTTAGCATGCTCGGATCGTCTGTGAGCGGAAGCACGCCTCGCGTCCATACTGCTACCTGTCGGCGCATTGCCGCGACTACGGGGCCTGCCTACGAGTGTACGTTTCGCGTGGAAAGAGCCTCTATATGTGTTTGAGTACCGTAGGCATCTTACATAGAATGAGATTTAGCCAAGGTACCCAGCATCCATCTTAGCTGCGGGAGCGGGAAGCGCGCATGGACGAGGGGTGCTCATGGACGCAGCTGGTCCAATGCTCAACTACCTAGACTGTGTCTGATACATAGTTACAGGCTGCAGACAGAAGAACCACGTTTCCTCGACCCGCCCCCCCTGCGCCCCTGATTTCCCTTTCTGTTTTCTTTTCTTCTCATTCTGCTTAAGAGACTGCGAGAGAAGATTCTAGACCGCGCATCATCATCGTCACGTGGAATATACATGGGTTTACTGCATGCTGCGTACCTACCTACCCTACCTTGGTAGCGACGGAGGGGACGACGGTAACCGAACGTAGGTAGGGGGGTCATCTGATGCGTGCGTGCCATTTCCGGCCCAGCAAAACTCGCTTATTTGCGCCTCGGCCTGGATTTTAGCCTGTAGGTTAAAGCAAAAAAAAAAAAAAAATTGCAGTGCATGTGCGGTGTCGAGAGAGAGGTTCTCGTGAGACTGACTGACTGACTGACTGCCCGCTGGTCGTATGCCCGTGCTGCACTGGAGCAGAGGGGGCTTGCACCGCTACTCCCCTCGGCCCAGCTGAGACCCCTCCAGCTCTCCTATGGAGGTTCCCCTCCTGGCTGGCTGGCTGGCCAGCGCGCACTCACGCCGCCCAAGCCGCCGCCGCGCGCAACAACAGCCGTCCAGTCCATGCCCGTGGGGGCCCTTCATTCATCCACTTGTACGAAGAAGGTTGGTTGTTGAAGGTTCATCTCGGGCCACCTCACCTCAGCTGTCAAAAAAAAAAAAAAAGGCGCGGCCCGCACCCGCTCGCCCACTTCCAGGTTGCTCCCCCGCCGAGCGCCTGGCGCCTGGCGCGCGCGCGCCCTCCACTCCCATCCCCTCCCCTCGGGCACTCAGACGGATCCCACTTCTCCGCCCCGAGGACCCCTATCAGCGGTTAGGCCCAGTCCAGGGTTCGACCTCGACCCCTCCCCAAAAGCCCCAGGACTCAGCTCAGCTCAGCTCCCAGTCGCAACGCGCGACGACGGCGACGACGACGAACCCGACGCACCAAAGCGATGAACCGCCTGTCCTGGTCCCTCCTTCTTGTCGTCTCTCTCTCTCTCTCCCCGCGCGCGAGAGAGGAGGCGCCCATTCCAAATAGCCGCCTGCACTTCACAACGAGCGTCCTGTAATGTGCGCCGGACGGGATCCTCCGAACGCCACGCAGGAGGCGGGCATCATGTCGCTCCCCCTGCTTCCCTGCCCTGCCCTGGACTGCAGCTTCCTAGCGGTCAAGTGAAAGGACACATGATGAGAAAGAGTACTGTACAGTACATAGTAAACGGAGGAACAGTGAAAAAAGAAACCACCATACCAAAGAAGAAATACAAAACAAAAATGCCATGAGCCAAGAAACACACATCGTTCTCTTCCCTCCCGCACCAGTCCAAGTCGCACGCAGTGGCATCGTAATTCCGCACACTGGATGGCTACCTAGGTTGGGAGGAGGAACCCTCGCCAGCAAGCCCACCCTCCCCCCTTCTCACCCTCCCCTTCCC